CCTTCAGGCGTTCAGGCCAAGTTCTCAAATAATTACCATGGCATGCTTTCTGTTAGGTTTCCTTCTGCCAGTGTCAGAGGCCCAGCATGGGCTCAAGGCCAAGAAGGGTCGGGGTGGGGGCTGAGGAAGACGATGAAAGAAGGGCCTGTGTTGCTTGTTCCCCTGCTTGGGTCAGACTGCGATTGGGCTGAATTCAAGGCTGCAGTGAGCTGTGGTGTGCAGCTCTGAATTCCCTAGATGCCCTGGGGCGCACCATGAGGCCTGTCGGTCTTGGAAATTGCTGCTGTCCAGTAGGGGGATAGATTATCCACGTGCATGTGCGCATGTGCAAATAAACCTATTTGCCAAAAGCAAGGTTCAGATTTCTGCCTGCAGAGTTGAGAGTGAGTCTGCCTCCAGCATGTGTGTGTCTGTGTAGCGGAGGTTTGGGGGAGGGGTTCCATTTAATGTTTAAAGATAGTTGCAAGAGAATATGTTATGAAAGCAGCTGAGTGTTGTGGAGTATCTTTACTAAAGTGGGAAATATTAGCTTATGAACTTTAGGAAGCCTCTGGCGGTATGAAAAGATGCTTAAAAGACAATGGGAGGGGTTAATGTTTAGACTGTGATTAACTCTTTGTAGTCATTTCTTTGATTCAGTAAGGTTGTGGAGACAGGGAGTAACTACAGATATGTTTGTTTTTAATAGGTACTTATTGTATGCTAACACCCTACAAGAGCATGTTGTGAGAAAATAGGATACTCTTTTTCATGAAGTTTTCCTTTTTAAAGATTTCATATTCAGTAAAGACTGATTAAATGATACTTGGAGGAGAATTGCTTTTCTTACTCCTGTTCTCTGGCCATGGACCAGCATCACGTAATCCCTAGAGACTTTTTGTTATTAAGGTGCAGCATAATTCAATGAAAGAAGCATGGGCTTCAGAGTCAGATCCTAGATCTGCCACTTACTAGCTGTGAGACCTTTGACAAGCTATTTAACCTAATCTTCAGGTTTTTGGTGGTTTTTCTGAAAAATGGGGATAGGTCTATCTCCCTGCACAGGGTAGTTTATTGAAGCACCTTACAAAGTGTTGGGCAATTAGTAAGTACTCAGTAAACATTAGTTATCTTACCTTCCGGTGGCTGGGGATGGGGGGGAGTAAGAAACTGAGTAGGAAAAATAACTCTTTGGAAAGGGTCTACCTCCTCTTAGATGCCATTTTCCTTCTAAGGAAGGTCAAGACGTGCACTTAGAGAGAAAATCTCTCAAGTCCCTCACCTCTCAAAATCTTAATCTGTACCCCAGGTGTGTTGCCCTGTGTCCATACCTTTCCAACGATGATTCTGAGTATTTGTATTACCTACTTACACACTGTGTGCACCCATTCATGAATTGATTGTCTATATCCAGGCAAGCACCATGCCAGTTTGATTTACTTTGAGGATGTTGCTACTGAGATTGTCTTTTCGCAGCAAAGGTGGTGAAAAACTTGCTGGAAGAGAGAAATATTTACAAGTCACTACTTCAGTTTTTTTTTAATAAAAACTTTGAGGACGTGGTAATGAGAGCACCACCAGATGAAGTATAACAGTCTTACCCAAAGAACTCATGTTCATCTGATGAATGCATGTAGCAGAGCCAATGATAAACTCTCAGAGCAACTGGCCCATTTTCCTCGATTGCCATAAACTGTGTTATTCCTGGTGAAGGAACCAGTTCAGTCAGCATCAAATGTGCCTACTATCCATGCACTACATGTTATAGGAGGGGTTTTTGAATTTTTAAATGTTCAGAATGCTAAGCTTTGGGGTGTTGGAGGGAGAGGGGGGTACAAGCAAGTCACAATTAGCAACACACAACTGAAGTGTTATCTACATTCAGTTCCTCCAAGGTCAGCATAACCTAAGAGCAGAAAGCCAAATGCAAGACTTTGGGGGGCAGCCACACTTGAAAAGTAGGAGGAAATTAAAACAGCAAAGTAAACCAGAATCAGCAGTAAAAGGGAAGAAAAGCAGGATATTACAAGGTCAAAACAAAAACCAAGAATCTTCGGTGGCCTTGCATGTAGCAAAGACTTCAAAAAAGAAAAGCAGCAAAAAGTGATTTGACAGGGAGGAAGTTAGCAGTGGTTTCTGAGGTTAAGTGGTTTCTGACTGGGCAGGTGGTTTCTATTATATAAACAGTGGCTTTTATAGAATGAGATATTTAGATCAACAACTTATTTCACACAGAACATTAAGAAGCCATTGTAATTAGATTCACTCCCTCATTCATTTCATTAGCATTTGCTGTGCTCTTATAAGTGCCAAAGTCTACAAAGCTCCACAGGGTAGGGGTACCTAATAGAAAAGCCATAATTAAATCATAATGGCTTTTCTCTCATGAGGAATCTGGGCAAAGCTTTAGACCCATGGCTTAAAAATGAAAGTCTCATTTCCCTGAAAGTGTTTGAGTTTATGTATTCTTTTCTGATATATTCACCTTTTGTTTTCCTTTTTGAATTAAAAAAGATTGGTTTACCACATCACAGGCAAGGTGTCAACCTTGAAGGGCAGCAAATTTTAAAAATATCAAATCTCAATGTATCTTATGTATGCATGAGGAATGGTAGTTACAGCTTGTGTTAGATTTTTTCCTACAAATACAAACAAAAGCCATACAGAATAGTCCAAAGGAACCAAAGTTTCCTCAGTTTCACACACACAAAAGTGCACACACTGCTTTGCCTCTCATAATTTAATCAGTTTGGCTGGCTGGCATCACTGTCAAAGTACCAACTTGGATTCTGACAGGAGGTTAAAAACATCATCTCAAAGAATCCTGTGTGAACTCTGAGGAAAAACATAAATGGCATTTATACCTTGTATTAGGGATTTATTTTCCATAAAAGTTTGATGCCTACGACGTAAACCCAACCCCTCACAGGAATAGGCCAAAGCTGCCAAGCTTTCCACATTTTCAGCTGTGGAGCTCTGCTTCTCAAAGTGGAGCTCAGAGCCTCCTTGCAGTGGGCAACCTGGTGCCTGGAAGTGAGACAACCCACAGGATAGCTTTGGCACACTGCAAAAGTGGAGGTGGATTTTACAGCCCAGTTTGCACATGCACACCTTAACTAGAAGGGACTTTTGTAATTGGCCATCCAAAATAAACCCACCTTAAAAATAAATACACCAACCCACCTTAAGGGCAAGGCAGTGTGTTTTTTCTCTTCCTACTTTGCATATGTCCTGGGTTTTTTTTTCTTTTTAATAATGAGGAAAAATACTTAACTTTTAAAAGAACTAAAGAAAACTTTAAAAGTTTCTTCTAGGCCACCCTAGTGAAAAACAGCTATTTGAAAATTGCTGATTATCCTTAAAATAAATCTGATTGTCCTTTAAGTCCTTCTTTAGCTTCACTTATTTCAGTAACTCTGATTCACTGCATTTGGAAAGCCACTAGTTTTCAATTGTTTTATCCCTATATCTTATGTCAAAAGTCACCCATCAGGGTTTCCATGGTGGCACAGTGGTTAAGAATCCGCCTGCCAATGCAGGGGACACGGGTTCAAGCCCTGGTCCGGGAAGATCCCACTTGTTGAGGAGCAACTAAGCCCGTGCACTGCAACTACTGATCCCGCATGCCTAGAGCCCGTGCTGTGCAAGAGAAGCCACCGCAGTGAGAAGCCCGCGCACCACAATGAAGAGTAGCCCCCGCTCTCCGCAACTAGAGAAAGGCCGCGTGCAGCAACGAAGACCCAACGCAGCCAAAAAGAAATAAAACATAAAAACGTCACCCATCAAATGTTTTAATGGAGAATATCCTTTCTCTGCAGTAACTCCAAGTACTTTAAAACATGTACCCCAAAATTCACTATTAATCTTTTTCAACTAGTAGCTTTTATCCACTTTCCTTATAACTGTGATTGATTCCCCTTTACCATCAAATTCAAGGACTGTGTGAATGTGTGGCAATCAGATGAGCTAGGTCCTACTAATGGATATATAAAGAAACTCAAAACCAAAGAAAGAATTCCCCCATTCCAACTCCAATTTTAATTATTAATTTCCTTATTAGCCTGAAGGTACAAGTTATACCTCTCCCTATCCAACTTCTTAATGTAAACTATACAATAAGGAGTCTGACCTCTAGGAGAATGCTAAGCATATGCTATTTCATAGCAAGGAATGTAATCCTTTCACAGGGAATAGTTTATGTAAACAGGGACTTTTTAAAAATAAGAGTCAAGACCTCAGTTTTATATTTCATATCTAAAACTGTACTCCAAGTAGAAATATGGGGCTTAGCTTTCTCAGTGGAAAACAACCACCCCAGATTTTCCAAAAGTTAAACACAATGATTTTAGAGGAAAACACTATTTATTGTGTAAAAGATTTATATTTATTAATCAAAGGCACAAAACAAAACTAAGACTATTAAAAGTTAACCTTACCAATAAAGATGTTAAAAAAAAAGTTAACCTTAATGTTGACAATTCTTATCAACCTGGTAAGGAAATACCAGCTAAAGCTAATGAAGATGAGTTGCTTTAAATTCCTAAGGAGAATACAATAACTCTTGGCACCATTAAGTAATAATTAGAACTTTTCAAACAATAGGGGAAATATAAATGTTAGTATAAATACCTAAATTTCGAGGCAAAGAAATGTAAAGTGTTAACTGTGTTGCAACCTGGTGTATCACAGAGTACTGGTAGTGCCTTTTATAGTCTTGGGTGCCTTAGAGGTCAGAGACTGTCGTTAATACCGTTTGGCAACTCTGATGATGGGTGTTATTCAACTACTGGCTGGAATTAAATTACACAATGTGACTCTCTGCCCATCAGCAGAACAGAGACTAATGAAAACATTTTAACTTCTTGATGCAAATTATACAATCACACCAGATAACCCTGGCTGGGTAAAGGTCCAGTTTGGAAGGATCAATTTTCGATCACACTACATTGAAAGCAAACTCACAGTGACTTTCAAAAGCCACACACTGAGAAAAAAAAAAGTCAAGAGGAACACAGTATTGTTTCATTTACAATTTACTAAGCTCTTCCAGTGTTTCAGAGTGACATGGGGATTTCAACTATCTAACATGAATGGGACAAAAGGTGGACTTCGAACATATCAAGCAAATGTCTTGATCGAATCAGACTACTGGTTATAGTTTTTCAATCTATCTGTAATAAATGTCGGTCTTCCATCCAGGCGATCTTGTAATTCACAGGGTTGGGGGTGGGGATGTTAATATCCTAAAATTAAAGAAAAAAAGTTAATTTACTTATAACCCAAATTTCAATATCTGTATTCCTTTCCACACATTTTAATCTAGTCTGCTAATGAAGACCTTCACGTGTTCCCAGTCAGTGGCTCAATTCAAATGTGAAGGGCGCCCCAGGGATTAATTCAGCCAGCTACAGTTCTCACGTTTTACCATTCAAATACTGAAGTTATTGAAGCACATGTTTCTCCAAAATCTAGTTAAGCTAGATGAGTTTATCACTCTAGTAACAGTCCACCAGAGGACTGCAATAAATGAGAATTAGGTAAAAGACCAGGGGAAAATGCCGATATTGACCAAGAGCAGAGTGTACTTGCCAGGTCACTATTGGGATTCTTCACTTCTCTACACTAGGTCCAAATCTGTTAGAAAGGGGACCACTTAGGATCTTTAGGCTGACATGTGCAGGTAAACCCAGAGAGGCCCTTCTGTCCTTTTTGGCCATGACTTGTATTGAGAGACAAGTGCCTACGCAGGGTTACACAGTAACAATAACATTTGAATGCACTGCTGGACATGATCTTCTTGGCAAACTCAGTCCATCCATCACATGTATAGGCTGGAGTAAACACTAACACTGAGAGAGCTGAGGATCAAAATGAACATACCTTAAAGTTGGAGAGGAACAGGCCCATGTTATGCTGGTTACACTATCTCATACTGGTTATTTGTTATGGCACGAGAGAGGCAGTAGGCTAGAAAGATTCCAATCAGCTGGAAACAAAATACAAGCAAAATTAAACACACATATACATACAAAGCTTAAAGACCTCAGGATACAGGTATATTCTCCTTTCACTTCTAATTCACTACCAATTTTCTTAAGTTTTTTTCTAGAGTAAGCATATAAGTGAAGTCTAACTACTACTGTGATCGGAATTTCACAACCACCACTGACAAAAATCACTCAGGAAAATCTTGAAGTTTGGGGAAACTTTCCTTACTCTCCCTCTCAGTTATCAGAGCAAAAAGGATATGGCTTAGAATATGCATCTCATCAAGTAAAATCTCCATCTATCAAGGCAGAGATTCTCTTGGAGGATTCTAAAACACTGCTGTGATGATGAAAATATTCTGTAATACCTGTTCTGTCCAACACGGTGGCCACTAGCCACATAACTTTTGAAAGGTGGCTAGCGGCTATTAGTGCAGATTCAGACAAAACTAGCAGGGCAGGTCTTAGAGAACTCTGTAGTTGTGGAAAACAGTGTAGGAAAACATAAGATGCAAGACAACCAAAAATTGGAATGAAAAGAGCAAAACTACTACATCTCTACTGTGATGAGCAGCTGAGAGTTTTGTGAAAATATGACTTCTCTAAAAATGCCCTTGCTAACCAGGGCCCTGAAGCCAAAACTGAAGCCTTCAAAGTGGAAATCTTGTAGCTTACACCTAACAAGAGTGATGAAACATTTCCTAACTACAAGGACTTACCTGGAAGCAAGCAACTCCAAAAGAAATTCCTGCAACAACTCCCATTTCTGACTCTATAATGGTCATCACCTTTATAAAACAACCCTAATGGAAGAGAAAAAAAAACATGAAGTACAGCTCAAACCATAATAAATACTTTGATCACACATCTCTGCGAAAGATGAGCTACCTTAGCCTTTGATTGTTCTTTTGTTAAAATTTATCCTTTCATAACAAATCCTGTCTCCTTTGAGGAACACAGGTTCCACCTTTTGGGTTATGCATTTAAGTGTGAAATCAAGTCACCAATTTTCTGAGCTTCAGTTTCCTCATTTATTCAATGAGAATAACACCTGCTCTACCCTATTTCAGATTACATGTATTGTGAGTAAAAATTAAATTCTTTTTTTACTCCTTACTTCATTGTTTACTTTATCTGCATCTCTCTGAGGAGAACAACCTTCAAGTTTACAGCAGCTCTTGGGAAATCCTTTTTCTGAGTAATAATTAGTATCCTTCCAATCTCTATAGTCGGTGACACCACAACAATGCAACTGAAAAAAATCCAACAGAAGCATTTATAGTTCATATTACCACTTTGTAGTCAAACAATTAAACCACCATCTTAGATTATACTTGGTAATCTCTAGCTTAAGACATATTTTAAAGCAGCTGTTCTCTATTGGCATTATAATTCATGAGATTAGCACTTTGGGACTAGTCTTACTTTCACTGCTACAGTACAAATGGACAACGTCTGGTAGGCAGGGCCCTATCCTCTTCTCTGAGGGAATAAGGAATTTGTTCCCCTCTTGAGAAGCCACCACCTATGACCACTTACCGTAGTTTGGATCTTGTCCACTGCATCACTTCTATAATCTCCCGTAGCGTTATATTGCTTTAAAGCTTTCTCATAATTATTCTTAAAACTGTTCTTAATCTACAGCAAAGAAACACAAGGCCAGTAAACAAAGATTTTAGAATGTTCTTTTGGTTTCTGGGTCAAATAAGAAATTCCCACATCTGACCAAATGGTCCTATCTTTGATAGCAGCAATGTGTATGGTAATTAACTTGTATGGTCCAATCCTGTCTTCTAAGCAATGTAAGTTTAGCTAAGGGGATTCCTAAGCAAAACATTCCAGTAAAAGATGATAACGATTAGAAGTTCAAAGTGCTGTGGGAACATATATTTATTCAAGTGGCAGCTTCCTTCTGCTGTATCTCCTCCCACCCTCAGTCTTTCTTCACTTTCAATTGAGTACACATTTGATGCCTATGGGATTTTTAAGCTACAAAATCTCACTCTGGGAGAATGCACTACCACTTTGCACTACCACTCTCACTGATGAGCCTTCAGTACTCATTGAATGACCTCCTAACCCCAGATTTATTAAGGTTTTGATGAGTGGAGAAGGTATCAATTTTCTGTTATCAGTTTTGTGCTTTAAATCTTTTCCTATCGCTAAAGTTATAAATTGTACTATCTACACTTTAATAGGTACTTATACACAGAAAAATGACTGCAAATACAAATAATTATGGGTACCTTCAATTTTCTTCTGGTGACTATCAGTCTTTACCAAAAAAGTGGGCTAGGTTTTTTTTTTTTACCAGAAAGTCATTACTGTCAGTTACAGGTTGAAAAAGGTCAGCTTTAAACACAGCTGTAAGTGATTTTTTAAACTAGTGAAAGCTGTCGTTTAACTCTATTACTTAAATTTATCCAGCTTTATCTCTTAGAGGATAAATTTTCACATATTAAGGTTCCCAAACTCAGGCTTACCTCATGTCTGAAAACAAATCCTACGATGGCAGCGACCAGTTCAACCAAAAAAATGAGAGTCAGAAACATTGCATACTGCAGGATAAAAAGAAAAGTCCAAGTCAGTTTATATATCACAGCTGCAAATGGAGCTGTTCACGTTTTTATGGAAAAGGGCAGGGAAAACACAAAGGTGGGAATTGGCAGCTACACTGTTACTTGCTAAGTTTTCATAAGGAAGAGGAAAAATAAAAAAGGGCCATGCCTAGTTCCAAGAAACAAAGCCTACAACATATAAGCCTTTTCGAAAACCAGCAACCAATTCTAAGAAAGCAAGAACTCACCAGTTTTAGCATCCATGCAGAAGCTCGGCAGGTAGCAAAACAGCCGAAGGTGCCCAAAAGAATAATGACAGTGCCAGTGCCAATGAGCACGAAGGGGACATTGGTGGCCTTTTCATTTAAAAGGGAAAAATAATTCTCTAGGCTCACCTTGCCCCAAATGCCAACAGCAAGAAGGATAACACCAGTGATCTATGTGGGAAATCAGAGAATTGAGAGTTACACACTGTATACAGCAACATCTTCAAACCACAAACCACTAGGTGTTTAAGAAACAATAGGTGTGAGAATTGATGCAGCAGTCTGTGGCCAAAGAGCTGTGGCTGGGATATGGTAGACAAGCGGGGTGGGGCTGTACACAAGAACAGGCCTTGATAAATCCACACGCTGAATCACTGTGGCCAGGACAAAACCAAGGGGCAGCTAGAGAAGGCACCTTGACAAAATTCTTAAACTTTATCTGTTTTTTTGCCCTAGGGATCAAAACTTAACTGTTTTACACCCGCCTTAGGAAGAAAACCTTTCCGCAGGTGGGGGTGGGGGGCGGGGGGAGTGTTTCTAAGAGTTCCAGAAACTTTCCCCTTCCCCCCAGTTCAGAGATGAGCACAGGGTACAAAGGGATGGTACACAAAGCAAGCCCAAGGACAGACTGGCGGGAGTGGAGCCATTACCATACTTACCTGCGAAATACTCCCCTCTTATGAAGCAGTGAAAAGAAAATGACTATTATGCATGCGAACCCTCACCGGGGCCGGGCAAGCCTTGCCTCTCCAATGGTCCGGGGACACACTCTGTTTGCTCTGGGGGGATTCACTCCCTTACTCGCCCCCCGCATCGAATTCCAAAGCTAGGCACGTCTGGGACCCGGCTCAGCCTCTCGGCTGCCGTCGCCCGACACCCCGACCCGCACGGGCGAGATGCCCGAGCCCGAGCCCGAGCCCCAGCACGTCGTCACCAGCGCCTGGGTCCCAGCAGCGACCGCCGCCCCAGCCCCACCAGCGCCTCCCCTCCCCACTCCCGATCCGCGCTCCCTCCGCACGACCCCAGCCCGGGATCCACTCCCGTCCCCGGGCATCTCCGTGTCTCACCCAAAAGATGAATGTGTAGATCAAGAGGACGCTCTTGAAACAAGTGATGACCGGTTTGGTTTGCAGCCTCCGAGACGGGGACGCCATGACTAGCCCGAGACCCTGCCCCGCCGCACCAGGCGATCGGAACAGAGTGAGCGAGGCGCGGAGCCCCCGAGTCTCCCCGGAAAGTGCCGAAAAGTTACGAGCGTCTGCGACTAAGAGCCGGGAACACTGTACAATTTTCTAGAGGGCAAGGTCCGGGAGGCTGTCCGGAAAGTGACGGCAATTTCCGAGCGCCCCCTGTCGAAGGTTGCCGAAAACTCTACACAAAAGGTTCTAGTGTCGGAAATTTCTTAGATCTTCAAAGGGGAGCTTGCTTCATTTTTCCGCTCAAGGAATCTTTCCCGCCCGCCACCCCTCCCCCTGACCTTATAACTCTATCATATTGTTTCTATCACCAGCAGCACCAGCAGCGCTCTGAGATTCGGCCTCGCTGGCCCCTGGAGCCCTAGAAGGAAAAACAGAAATGGAAAGAGGTTAAAAGTGACCTAAGAAGATTTTATGACATCGCAAAATACTCTCAAGATATATATTTCCAAAGAGAAACAAAAGCAGATCGCAGAGCGATACGTCCAGTCACATGTTTGTAGATAAAAACCGAAAGGAAAAGTGCAATTCTATCTGAATGGTAGAATTACGCTGATTTCTTTCTCCTGTTTTGTGCTTTTCGATTTTTGAACATTCTTTTATGAGGTGGGGAGGGGGCATAAGAAGTATAAGAAATAATCACTTGTATGAATTCCAAAGGTAAGTATGAAAGATAATGAATTTTAGAATTTCTCTACAAGAATTTGCCAAGCTCCTTTATCCTTCTCCTCCCTTATCCTCTGAGTAACTTGGGAGTTGAGGAAAAGTGTTTTAAAGTACTTAATCCTGAAATGTAAGTTCAGCTATTAGCTACAAACTTCAAAAAGGGAAGGCACTACAGAGAATACAAGGTAAATGTGACCCCCTTTTAAATGTTAAAACTGAAAGGCACTGTACTATTCCAGCCTTCTGGTTTTTCAGATCAAGAACCAGCTGATCACAAAGAGGCTGAAATCATAGGTCATACAACTAATAGCAAAGCCAAAACTAGAGATAACTGTGCTTTGCAATCATCTCCCCTATTATACAAGCTGTATATGGTATTTGGTGCCTGCTTATCCCCAAGAAATTCTCCCAATTGCTTAGATCTTCCTAGAACTTGAGACCATGTGTTCCTAAGGACTTAAACTGCTAACAGGATGAGAATGAATCACCAGAAAGTTTCCAGTCCCTTATGTCCACAGGCAGCCCAAAGTCAGACTTTGGGATAAAGTGGAATGAAAAAAAAAAAAAAACACAGCCCTCTTCACGGTCTCCTAAATACTGGAAACCTCAGGAGAGGGATTTTTTTTTAAATCTATTAAGGTCTGGTTTCTCAACTAAAGTATAAGCTCTTTGAGGGAAGAAACTGTGTTGTGTGTGTGTGTGTGTGTGTGTGTGTTATTTCTAGAGGCGTGGGATTAGAAGACAGTATCAGTTTCCTAACCAACCAATTTACATCATCACTGACACAAGCTTAACATTACAAATGGGCATTTACTGTATTGCTATGACAATAAGTCCTGCATTAGTGAAGAAGAGATGGATACCTAAACTTTTTGCTCAAAACCTTGTTTTAGGGCTTCCCTGGTGGCGCAGTGGTAGAGAGTCTGCCTGCCGATGCAGGGGACACGGGTTCGTGCCCCGATCCGGGAAGATCCCACATGCCCCGGAGCAGCTGGGCCCGTGAGCCATGGCCGCTGAGCCTGCGCATCCGGAGCCTGTGCTCCGCAACAGGAGAGGCCACAACAGTGAGAGGCCCGCGTACCGCCAAAAAAAAAAAAAAAAAAAAAAAAAAAATTTGCTTTAAACATATACCACATATACCACAGAACCAGAAAACAGGAAAGTTCCATTAACTTGGTCACACAGAGCTTCCCTGTGCTTCAAATATTGACCTAGGACCATCTCCTATAGCACCATGCCAGATGTCTGAGGTCCAAGAGAGCAACTACTGGAGAACTATTGCACTGCCACACTTTATACTAAAAGCTTATCCTAAAATTAGAAAAGCCTAACACATAAATGCATAGAGAGAATGGGTAAATGATACATCTATACATCTTGTAAACACTAAGCCAAGGTCATCAGGCATAAAGCAGACATCAACTTATAAAGTACCACATATGTCATAGCTACAGGAAATGAGGTTGAGGGGGGCTCTAAGTATAATTAAAGCTGTCTCCCTAAACTAAATAGCACTATCTGAGGGGTTCTCATATTAAAACAAAAAAGTATCAAGGGAAGTCTTGCTAAATTCTTGTCATCTTAAATGGAAGTTTTATCTGAAGCTTAGGTTTGTACCATGTCCTGAAAGGGATTTTCATTATGAGCCTGAGAGCAAATAAATACTTCTGTGGCTGAAGAAAAAACAAAATAGTCAAAGCAAAAGCCACATCTTATTTCCAAGAATGTGTTGATTTTCCTCCTCTCCCTTCCTCTGCCACTCACAACGCTGCTTTGTTTGAATAGCAGTCGGTGCCAAATTAAACCGAAAGCTGACATGGAATTTAATATTCCTATGGCCACAACACCTTGCACCAGAGCCTCCCACCCTGCTACTCCCCCCCACCCAGCCCTGTTGCCATGCCACCAAACCCAGAAGTTCAGTTTAGTTTAAATTTAGGCCTGGGTCTGGGTCCAAACCCAGACAAAGGGGCGTCTCATCCCATCTAGGCAATGTAACAAGTAATTCTCTAGGTTATAAGCTTATTCTTTAAAGTATTAATAATGACTGCAATATTGAGCATTGACTATGTACCAACCACCGTTGCTAAGCAATCAACAAGCGTTGCCTCATGCTTACATTACAAAAGCCCTTATTGTGAGGTGAGGACTACCACTGCCCACATTTTACAGATGAGGAGACAGGTTCAAAGAGGCTAAGTAACTTGCCTAGGACTAAGCCCTGGCAACTTCTGTTTCCCTCATCAGAAATGGGGCCCACTCTGTGATGAGACATGCTGCCATTGTACATTTAAACACAAACAAGGGCTCTTTGGAGCCCCTGAAGCACAAGAACCTCAATGGTTTCCCCAATTCTGCCTCATACTTGGGGTTTTTTGTTGAATTTTGCTTTTGCCTTCACTCAATAGCCCAATCACCTAGGAGGTAATCCTGAGCATCCAAGAGTGGTAGAGAGTTCAACAGTTCTTCTGGTTCAGCCTCTTAATTTCTCCCTCTTTTCTGAGCACAAGAACATGTTTGATGCCGAAAATGTAGGAAAAAAGGAAAATACCTTTCTTAAGTATTGTTGCTGCTTGTTTTACATTCAATATTTAGTATAGATTTGTGTCCCTTCCCTATTAACTTCCTGTAACTTTCAAGATTAGATTTAAATGTTTCTCTTTGGCATTTAAATGATGCCTCCCCCAGCACATGTATCAACTTATTTCCGACAGCTTTTCCAAAGTGAATTTTCTGTTCCACAATAAGCCAGTATGATTATCTTCCCCAATAAATAAGATCTGTTCCCTACTCACTTCCCACTCTCCAAACTCAAAATTCCTGCCCCCCCAACTTAAGGTTCAGCTCAACCCCAACTCAATGAGAGCATCCTCCCCCCAACCCCCCACCCTGGCCCACACACATACCTTTTTCTTTAACATCAGTGCTTATACTCTGACTACTCATGTTAACTCATACCCTTAGTCCATTACTACAATACCTGCTTTCAGTACCTGCTTTTTCTCTACTTACCTGTCTTACATCCTGCTGTTCAGAAACTACTGCACCCCCTTTTATACTCTCCAGAACCCTAGGACGCAATGCTCAGTTGATGAGCTCCTTTGGTGCTCAGCCAACCCCTGTTCAGCTCATTGGCCATAGCTGGTCTCTGAGGCTAACCACTTAGTAGTCACTCAAGGTTTGATTAAGTTAAATGAAATTAAAAACTAAATGTCTAAGCCATCCCAGTGTCACACTGAAAAATTTAAAAAAAAACAGAAAAATTAAGTTGATAATGTCTTGGGACATTACTACTACTTGTCTTAGGCACCAGTAAAAAGACATTAGGCATTTTGTGCAGAATGCATCTTATCTCTTATTCACATAATGATCTTACCATTTTCATTTTCTAATACCTTTTCTAGAATCCCTCCAATTACCTTTGGCTAAGTGCCTATCGTAAAATCTAAAAGCACCTTCTACTTATTTTCTTTTTTTTTTAAAGGAATTTTGCCTTTTATTTATTTATTTATTTATTTATTTATTTATTTATGGCTGTGTTGGCTCTTCGTTTCTGTGCGAGGGCTTTCTCTAGTTGTGGCGATCGGGGTCCACTCTTCATCGCGGTGCGCGGGTCTCTCACTATTGCGGCCTCTCTTGTTGTGGAGCACAGGCTCCAGACACACAGGCTCAGTAACTGTGGCTCACAGGGCTAGTTGCTCCGCAGCATGTGGGATCTTCCCAGACCAGGGCTCGAACCCGTGTCCCCTGCATTGGCAAGCAGATTCTTAACCACTGCGCCACCAGGGAAGCCCTACTTATTTTCTTAAAGTGTCATATTTTACATTACAGCCAACAGATAAACATCATTTAAACACATAATTTAAACATCATCATTTAAACAGATAATCATAGGTATAGTTTTAAAAATTAGTTTCCTGAATAGGAATATCTTTTTATTCCTCTTGTCTTTTCGGATTCTCTATGAATCCTTTCTTCCCTTTCCAGCCTTGATCTTGCCTCTTTCAAAAAGGCTCATAATATACTGTTTGAGACACAGAGAAATGAGAAATACTCCTAAATGGTATTAAAATTTACATTTCCATGTCAATTTGTCTTAGTCCAGTTTCTAAGAAAATTGTTTCAAGTCTAGGCTTGTTGAGCTTTGCTGAGATCTCAACTAGGCAAGTCAGTTTCCATATCTAATATTTCTTAAAACAATACCTTATTGACTGCTGAGGGGCTTCATAATAAAAGTCTTGAAGTTGAAAATGATACTGAACTTTAAGAACCTTAAAACTTTGTATTTGTATGCATGAATGTTGCCAGTCTTTGTCTTATCTTCCCAACCAAATCATAGGGAAAGGTGTTTTGTTTAATTTTATATCCCCACAGTGTCTAACATAGTGTTACCCACACACAGTAGGTGCTGAAGAAATGTTGGTTTTTTAAATTGACCCCACCTGTTTTGAGCAAGGTCTTCATATTACCCATCCCAGTGCTTCATACAAATGCTGCCCCTCTTGTCTCATGTATCCCCTTACTTTGATCTCCCTATGATTTCCATAATCTCTCCATTTTTTTCTTTAATCTCTCTCTGCCACCCCTCTGCCCTGCTCCTTCCAGCCCTAAGTGGGACATGAGGCCTTATGCAGCATCCTCACCTTAGCACATGCTGGCCTCTGTGTTTGGTGCTGGGGGAATGAAGAAGACTAAGCCGTGGTCCCACTCACAGGCTAGTAGGGGACAGAGATGAGTCTGAGATGAACAGACTAGTAGAATAGAGGACAGAGATTGTCATATATCAACAGTGACAATAAGTGTGATAAATCCTGTAATTGAGACATGTACAAAGTGATATGATAGAAAGGAAGTTGAAGTAAACCAGTTCTGGCTGCGGTGGGCTGAGGGAAGCTTCTCAGCAGCAATGATGGATACGGTCTCAACAGCCCAGGAAAGAAGGGAAAGGGTTACAGGGTAGAGTAAATATATCTGCTCCAAGCTACCACAGTGTGAAAGGAAGAGCAAGAGGTTCAGTGTGTCCAGAATGAGGAGTCATGGAGTGAATGTTTAAAACTAGGCTGAGGACATAAGTGAGGTTTGCTTGTGCGGGGTACGGTGTGCCCTGCTAAGAGCTGGGACTATACTCTTTGCCACGAGGGAGCCAGTGAAGGGATTTTTTAGAAAGAAAACAACCCTGGTAGAATTTATTCCTCTGCTCATTCACTAGCTCTCTCTCCTCTCTCTCCATCTCTCTGTCTCTCTTTCTCTCTCTCTCTGTCACACACACACACACACACACACACACACACACACACACATTTAATAGATTCACTATTTCCTAACACATAAGTTTAATGTAAACTCCTTTATCTGATTTCAAGGGCCTCACAATCTGGCCCTACTGTATTAATTCAACTTTGTTTCCTACTGCTCCCCTGAACCCATCTCCCCTCTGAGCTAACAATGAGCCCTTGTACATGTCATTTCCCTTGCCTGAGAACAGACCACAGCCCATGTCTTCCCACAGAGACCTCACAGTGTATTCCATAGCTTTTGGAAATTTATATGGTCTTGTACAATTTTCTAATTGTTTGTGTCCCCCTTCTCTCCCGTAGTAAACATAAACCCTCTGGGAGCTGGAGAGTAAGCTCCATAAGATCAAGAATCACACAGTTTTTACTCATCACTGTCCTCCGGTTCTTAGCTTATAATAGATGTCCAATGAAGGTTGGTCCACTAAACACACACAATTGCAGTTAAGAACATTTTTGTTACAGCCACTATCGAGAGCAGTATGGAGGTTCCTTTAAAAACTAAAATTAGAGCTACCATACGACCCAGCAATCCCACTACTGGGCATATACCCTGAGAAAACCATAATTCAAAAAAAGTCATGTACCACAGTGTTCATTGCAGCTCTATTTACAATAGTCAGGACATGGAAGCAACCTAAGTGTCCATCGACAGATGAATGGATAAAGATGTGGCACATATATACAATGGAGTATTACTCATCCATAAAAAGAAATGAAATTGAGTTATTTGTAGTGAGGTGGATGGATCTAGAATCTGTCATACAGAGTGAAGTAAGTCAGAAAGAGAAAAATACCATATGCTAACACATATATATGAAATCTAAAAAAAAATGGCTCTGAAGAACCTAGAGGCAGGACAGGAATAAAGACGCAGATGTAGAGAATAGACTTGAGGACACGGGGAAGGGGAAGGGCAAGCTGGGATGAAGTGAGAGAGTGGCATTGACTATTTTTACATTTGGTATTTTACACTACCAAATGTAAAGTAGATAGCTAGTGGGAAGCAGTCACATAGGACAGGGAGGGCAGCTCGGTGCTTTGTGACCACCTAGAGGGGTGGGATAGGGAGGGTGGGAGGGAGACACAAGAGGGAGGGGATATGGGGATATAAGTATACATATAGCTGATTCACTTTGCTATACAGCAGAAACTAACACAACAATGTAAAGCAACTGTACTCTAATAAAGTTGTTTAAAAAAAAAGAACATTTTTGTTGAATGTGTGTCTCCTCCAATCCATGAGGGCAAGGATTATCTCCATTTTACACATTGATGTCTATCAGGTATTGATACCTCAAAGAGTGTGTGGCACATAATAGATGCTCAACAAATATTTGTTTAATTAATTATGGATTAGGATGTCAGGGATTTTGTCCACCATCCTTAACACAGTAGATGTTTGATAAACTTATTAAATGAATGAGGCCAAGACCATGTCTTTGCCTTCTTTATACAATGATCACACTGTTGAACACATGATTAACACTCATTACATATTTTTGATCGGTGGATGGCAAATGAAATGGGCTTGCTACTGAACTTTTTATTATTGTAAACACAATTCTTCCCTTCATGACTGAGAAGGGGTTACCAGTTTGCTTACACACACAAGGAAGAAATCATTTCTACAACAGCTAAAAAAAATTATTCCAGGACAATGCATTTAACAGGATGGAAATTAAACTCTAAGGGGAGGGAAAGTATCAGGAGTTGTTCTGCACTGTGGTAGAACAGTCTCATTATCAGATACTAAAATGAACAAAGCTTGCTTAGTGAGGAGAAACACAGCCCTCCATAAGAGATCATTGGGAAACAGCTTAGCAATGGCTATAACCTTGCCATGCAGAGATAGATCATCTCAATTGGCTTAAACAACCTCCCCCTAAAGCTTCTCTAAGCATGCTTTGTCTCCACTCTTATTACAGGAAATCAGTTTTGATTCTGCAGGCTAGAAGTGCATGGTATTTTTTGTCAGCAACATAATCTTATCAGAAACTGAAGTCCATAGGAGTTAGGTCATCAGAGAGGGTTTCAAAGTGGATCTGATCCTGTACATAGGGATGGCAGGGCAACTTGGGGATGGAGAGTACTAAGGAATTACAGGGGAAATCTGCAGGGAATGTCAAAATCAGCTCCACTCTTCCCCTCTCCTAGGACTTTGTGGAATTCCTTTTCATTCAATCCTGAGGTCATGCTGAGTAATTTTAAAAAAAAGTGTTCTTCAGTGCACCACATCTCTGGAAGCCCTTTAGCCAGTCTGTTAGTCATTACTATACTCACAGGCTTGGGGCCAGCACCATTCACACTTTCCTCTGCTCTGCAGCAGACGGATTGAGCTCCTCTCATCCTTGAGTTCCTTCTCCCCCACCTCTCTAAAACTCTTTTCTGAGGGAGGAACAGCTATAACTTTGAGGATAATATAGCTTTAAGGAAACTTTTGGCAGATGCTGATGTCCTAACATCTGGGCAGTGTTAACAGAATCCCGGAGGCCCGGACAGACCAGGAGCCACTGGTTCTAGGAATGTAAAAAAGTCGAAGTCTTTCCGACTGATGAGAGGAGCAAAGAGGAAGGAGAAAGAGAAAGAGAAGGAGAGAGAGAACACAAAAAAACCACACAACAGGTAAGATCTGCCACTCCATCCGTCCACACCACACTACCCCATTTCACAACCCGGGAGGGTAACGAGAGCCAGGACTTGGGCATAATGGCTTGGAGGTGGGGTGGGGGGAGGAAGAAGTTCTTTTATGAAACTGGACCACATGCTGCTTTCCACTTGAGCCGTGACCTGGCTGCAGACACAAGTTCCCACTATCTTCCCGGCCCACAGCAGAGGGATGGCTGACCCCAGTGATGAGTCAAGTTTTCAGTCTGAGATTGGGGAGAAGGTGGGCAGGGAAGGGGTCACAGGCTCAGAGCACTGGGTCTGCAAAGGAAAGCCCCTGCTCCCAAACCAAGGAACTGGATGGAAGCTGCATGTGGGAGAGGGGTTGATGATTAGGGCATCTAGCTGTTCATTTTCCTGAATCTCTCTTTAATCTCCTCTCTCTCATCCTTTTGCTCCCTCTTTCTGCTTTTATCTCTTGCCTTCAGCTCTGGCAGATTGTCTTTTCTTGCTAAGCTTCCTTTCCACATCTTTCCACTTTCCTTGCCTTCCCCACTTGCTCTTACTTCTTCTCTATCCTGCTTCCTTGCCACTCTCTAGACAAAATCTGAAGCTATGGAGTAATGAGCTGGAAAGTGAATTTTTGCCATTCTTGGACTTCTCACACCCCTTAGGGAGGCTGGCCAGAATCTGCCATCTTTTTGTTCCTCCATTTCTGGGACTGACACCTCCCCCGAGCATGGCATTTCATTGAAAGCCTTTGGGGGCTTGCTGAGAAGTCCAGCAGCCAGTTTATACCAATGGGCAGCAAGTTTTTTTTTTTCTTTTTTTTTAGGAGTTTATTAATTAATTAATTTATTTTTGCTGCTTTGGGTCTTCATTTCTGAGCAAGGGCTATCTCTAGTTGTGGCAAGTGGGGGCCACTCTTCATCACGGTGCGCCGGCCTCTCACTATTGCGGCCTCTCTTGTGGAGCACAGGCTCCAGATGCGCAGGCTCAGTAGTTGTGGCTCACGGGCCTAGTTGCTCCGCGGCATGTGGGATCCTCCCAGACCAGGGCTCGAACCCGTGTCCCCTGCATTAGCAGGCAGACTCTCAACCACTGCGCCACCAGGGAAGCCCGGGCAGCAAGTTTTAATACTGTCATTGATGAAGTATTTGCCTACTGGGAACCACACAACTCTCATCCTATTAGAGTGAGGACAGGACAGGAAGTAAGAGGGCAGTGGGAGCTTGCTTACCCTCTCCTCACGTACCTCAGTAGGTTCTTTCCAACCCCACTGACTTTCTGCTGGCTCAGCAGGGTAAAACTAGAAGGTTAGGCTGGACTTGAAAGCCAGAAGCCACTACTAAACCACTAAGCCTCAAAGCCCAAAGCTAAGAACAGAGCCAGGGTATAGTCACCACCTGAGAGACTGCAGAAAGGAGACATCCAGTCCTGTTCAAGATGGAGTTGGTAATAATAATATCTAATATACATGGATTGCTTCCCTATGTGCCAGGCAATAGTCTATTCTATAAGGTAGATACTATTATTATTCCCATTTTATAGATGAGGAAACTGAGGCTCAGAGAAGGTAAGGAATTTGTCCGAAGCCCCATAGCTAATAGGGACAGAATTGGATACACATGCAGATCTGTGTAACTCTAGAGTTCAAGTTCTTAGTCCACATATGCTAACACTTTCCCATATTTGTGGTTAGGAAGTACTAGTTAAGTGGATGAAACCATCAACTGGTGCCTTTAGATTGCAGGATTCCCGTTTGGTTCTATATGACTTAATGTTGGCCCTTTCCTGGTCTTTGTACCTCACTGTCCCTCTCTGTAACTTGGAACATAGAACATTGGCATCAGCTATCACCAGGGTCAATTGAGAACTGGTTGTTTTATGCCCTCTTACTCCTGGGAGGGAAAGACCAAAATTAACAAACAGAGTGTTGTTATTCTATAAAGTGGAAGATCCTTACAAGGGGGACCATATAACAGGCATTCATTATTTTAAAAAATCTCTCTTCTTCCTTGCAGAGCCTGCATTTCTGCTTTCTCTCACTTTTGGAAGTTCATTAATGGCTGATTTCTGAAAGTCATCCTCCTTTGCCCTGGTGCTCCTGGCCACGTACCTCTATTCTTATCTCCCTAAACCACCCTCCCACTCCCCCTTCTCCCCCTTTCAAGGATGGCCGTTCAGCTAACTCGAAGAGGAGCTCTCTCTCTGCTGCTCTTCCTCACTCCAGCAGTGACGCCAACATGGTATGCAGGTAAGCTCTAGGAGCTGTTGCCCATTATTTCCAGGAAGGGCAGGGCTTAGAGCAAGTGTTAGAGAAGGGAAGGGTTAGACCGCAATAGGAGACACTTAAATTAGATACAGAGAAGAACTATCCTCAACAAGAAAGATGGTTAAACATTGCAAAAGGCTACCGAGGGAGGTTTTTGAGGCAAACAGATAAGAGATTTTTGAAAACAGGCTGCACCAGCATAAAAATGACGTTGGTCAATATATCCTTGTAGCTTATTTGTACTACACAGAGAATATGGCAAATATTTTATCATAACTACAAATGGAGTATAATCTTTAAAAATTGTGAATCACTATATTGTACACCTGTAATTTATATAATATTATACATAAACTATACTTCATAAATATAATAAATATAAATAAATATTAAAAAATAAGGTTGGTCAACATGGCTTTTGAGGCCACTATCTTACCTGCTTCTCCACTTACTTTCTCTCTCTTTCTCTCTCCCCTCCCAGACCTTGTTTATAGGATGAGATTTTTATAGCCCTTTTCTGCTGAAGATTGTTAATGACAATTCAGACCACATTCTCTTAAACAGGAATCCCTCAGTTTCTTCTGGCTTGTTTCTTATTTTGGAAGGGATAGGCATTTCTAGATCCCTGAATGTTTCATCCTTTGCCCCTGGGGAGACATAGGGAGCTCAAGAGAACAGACCCAGCGAGGAGATGGGAGAGGGGAAGGGGAGGAATGAAGGAAGGATAATGAGGTGCCAGACAGGGGGTTTTGATGGGGCCCAGCTGGCATTCCAAGTGCTAAGAATATTCTGTGGCCTGCAGCATCTGCCTTCACGGGGGCTGGGGGGAGTAGGGGCAGGAGACAGGCCCAACTAATGGAGTTAGAAAAACATCCAGAGATGAGTAAATAAGAAACTGCTTCCATCACAGCTGCAGTCATTGTAGCTAAAATTTTCCACATGCCCTTAGCTCCTGGTGGAGGCTTCTGGCAGTAGCTCTGTTTGGAACAGCTGCATCAAGCTTTCAAACAAATATGCGCACTTCTTCCCCTCCTTGGCTTAACCTGGCTTTGTAGGGGGTGAAGCATAAGGGCTGACACTGAGATGAAGAAATTCAAGTCAAGCCCTTGGAAGAGTGCACACTGCTTGGGCTTATAGGAGCCCCAAGTCCCCAGGAGATACCATGTGCAGCCGTCCTCCCCAACCTCCCCCCAGCTTCAGTTCAAGTACATGAGACCAAAATCTGGCCAAAGACCATGAGACTATGGAGTGGAGGTTAGATGGCTCAAGCCCCATTTTGAATAACTATAAGAAACCTCATGGCACACAAAGGCCTTGACCTTTCCCAGGGTGGAAGCCTGAGCTGTTGGAGTCCTAAGGACAGTGCAGTTGTTTTAAAGACTTGGATTCATTTGAAACTCTCAAAGGGCTGTTTGCAAAGGTGGCTACTCCCACTTCTCACAAGAATCACTATGGTCATCACTCCTTCTCAGGAGCCCAGGCTGGTGAGGTCTCTGACAGCCCTGCAAGCCCACTCATTCTGCCTTTCTCTTTTCTTAGGAGGCTACGTGATGAGAGAAATTTGGAAATCTCCCAATAATCCTCCCCTACATCACTAGTTCAGTTGTCGGAGCTTGCTCCATCCCACCTGTTCATTTCTTCATTCAATAGATATTTAATGACCACTCTCTATGCATTCAGCACTGTTTTCTTCATGACTATAGCTTTGTCCTCCAATGGGAATAGTACAAGGAAAGCAGCCAAGTGTGGATTCCTGGCTAATCAGAAAAAGGATCCAAGAATAATCAGCAGGGGGTGGGAAGCGTTAAGAATATAAATCAAGCCAACAGTGGGTTAAAAGTGCATATTGGCATATTTGTGCAGTTCAGGAAGTCAGACAGTATTTCTTATCATAATCCAAGCATTAGGGGGGATCTTAAAATTGTCATCAACTATCAGTTACATTTCCAACCACACCTTTGTGAAGGGTAGTGCTTAGAGGGTCTGACTGTACTATGGAAGTTGGAGGAACCCAGTAACAGACGACAGAGTAACCAATGATCATCATAAAGGAACCAAGGAATGCTGCCCAAAGCTCTCCCAACCAGGGCTGAAGAGGGACAAACAGATAGAAAAAGGTGGGAAGGGGGGACCCTCTGGTTTCCCATATCTCATCTCAGTATCTTAATATTTGCCAAAAAAATACCCAAAGACAGGCAAAGAGGAGAAATGGAAAGGCTTAAAGTGGTAAGGTGGCCCCAACTTATTCCCGTCACAAAGCAGACTTGGCCAGCCACCTCTGTACCCCTGGTACAGCCAGCCACCTCTGTACCCCTGGTGAAGACTGTAATTATCTGACTGAGTCTTCCCCTCAGCTTTCCCACATCCCCTGTAATTCTGGAATGATGTGAAATGCTTGGTGGCCTTCGATCCCGCACACATAGAGTGAAAAAAGGCTGAATTGCGAGAAAGATTTTGGATTTTTATTCCTGTTGGGTGTTGTCCAAAGCTCTCCCCTACCGCCATCTTTAGTGGAGTGTCTGAGTTTGGTCTCAAGGGGATCAAATCGCCCTGGGCTGGAATACCCATTCTGCTCCTTACTAGCTGGGAGACCTTGGGCTACTCCCTGAATTCCTCTGAGCCTGTTACCTCAAGTGTATATGAAAAAAATATGGGTGTCTACCTCACTGAGATGTCAGGGTGATCTAATGAGATGACGTATGTAGTGCGCTGAACCCAGAGTAGGTGTTGAGTGATGTTAGCAGTCGTTGTTATTGTGGTTGTTGTTATCCAGCCACAGGCCTTGGAGTCTGCTCTTCTGGTAAACAGAGGCTTGCTCCCTGCTGGGCATTTCTTCACAAGCAAGCTCTGGAACAAGGTTAGGGGGACCAAAGCGTTTAGAGAATCATGCACATCTGTCCTCCTGTTTACAGGCACTGTAAGGGTTTGATACTAAACTGAAACAGCTGACAAGAATTCTGTTTCCCACCTCCCTACAAAGAAACTTCCCAGGTGGGGAAAGAGGGAGCAAGGGAGAGGAGGCCTAAGAAGAAATAAAGGAAATCCAGGAGAAGAAGCAAAATGCGAAACCAGGAAAAAATAAAGGGAAGAAGAAAAAATGAACTCTTTCCTCTGGAATGAGGGCAAACCAACGAGGACATGATTTCATAAGGCAAACTTTCAGTTTGATTCATTCCCTTGTTCATCAAGCTGGACTGGTTTCCCAACACGCCCCCTCACCCGCAGCCTATGCCTGTGGGGACTGGAAGAGCCTCATCATCTGCACTCTGCTCCACCCTTTAGTGCAGGGGGCCTTGTGCCTCTGTGCAGAGAGGAGGCAGACGAGCTTGTGGTCGGAGTGTTGACACAGGCCAAAGGGCTTCAGCACTAAAACCCAGCCCTGTCCTGGAAGCACACCCTCTCCTGGGAATGCAGAATTGTCTTCTGACTCCAGCAGGGCTGGCTGCTCTACTCCTGTGTGTGCTTTAGGGCTCTGGGCGGCTGGAAAGAGAGCTTCCGGCAACTTCCCTCCGGAAAGGACCAAGTTGTATTCCAGTTAGTTGGAATGACCCATTTCCTGCCGTCTGGTGGAACGCACTGTTTAGTCTCCCGGACAGCCATAGACTGGCCTCCACCGGGGAGTGGCCCACTTAACGGGATGAGGGTGGTTGTGGAATGTTCTCTAGCTCAGCAGCCCCCTACTAAGGCTCCTGCTGATTAGAGGAACTAGATATCTCTCCAAAGCAGGACAAACTGCTCAGGAAGTGAAACTCTTCTCATGCCCCCTCGCCTTTTGAGCCCTCCCTCTTTGCCTTCGCATGCCACCCCTAGCCCTGGCAACCAGGTGGCAAAAGGCTGGTGCCCTGTGGGCTGGTGGGAGCTTGAGGAATTATTTCCCTCTGAGGATTGTGAGAAGGCCCATCATTAGTGGAAAGACCCTTGCTCAGGCTCTATGTTTTCCTCCTATCTGGGACAACAACTGTCCATCCTCAGAGCTTGGTCATCAGTGTCTCACCAAAACTCATGTGTTACATCAAGGAAATGGGTCATTTCTAGTCCAGATGGGCAGGATTCATGGCTGGTCAAGAATTTTGATTTTTTTCTTTTGAATGGAGGTTTCTAGTGCTACCAGTAAGCCACCCACCTCTCCCCCAACATGAGTTCACCCTCTGTGCACCTGAGGTGTGGACGTTTGCCCACAATAGTTCTGCTGCTTCACAAGACAGGATTTTCCCCACTAAATAGCCACCTAGCTCCCCACTCATGGAGTGTCATGTCCTCAGAAAGGGACCAAGTTGGAAAGGGGAAAAGGTTGGGAAGGACTTGCATAAGAAACCAATATGTCATCTTGATATATTCTTCATTCTAGGTTCAGGCTACTACCCAGATGAAAGCTACAATGAAGTATATGCTGAAGAGGTCCCACAGGCCCCTGCCCTAGACTACCGAGGTAATCCTCTCTGCTTCTCAGGCTCAGGAAGGGCCTTATCTGGCCTAAGGCCTAGGCCCTGCCTGAAGCATTCTCACCCAGCTTGGCTCATTTGTGCCAAAGCTGCAGCTCAGGGAAGCAGGGGCTATAGTTTCCAGGCATGAATTTGGTTACTGACTTGCTGTGTGATCTCACCTGTCTAGAATTAAGGTTGCCCATCTATAATTAAGTATTGACTGAGTACCTACTGTATGCCTAATCCTCTGTAACGAAAGCCTTGGGTGATATAAAATCTAAGGTAGGGTTTTGTCCCCTTCAAGAAGCTTACATTCTGCTGGGGGATATGGGTGAGGGCACAATAAAATTAGCAGGCATAGGGCAAGTAAGCGTGAAACTCTGTGCTAACAGTAAATGCGATAGGAGTTAAGAAAAAGAAGTCATGGGAGGAGTCATGAAAGATGACATTTAGACTAGGCCTTGAATGATGTGTGGATCTGAGAACTGGAAAGGGGATGGGAGGGCCTTCAGCATAGCAGATGGCCACAGATATAGAGGTAAGAACAAACGTGTAAGAGGAAGGAGCTAGGAAGAATCCAGCCTCACTAGAGGAGATGGGATGTGGAGGGAGTAGTAGGAGGTAAATATAAAGAGTGAGACCAAATTTGGAAAGGCTCCATGATCTAGGGACCCTTCTAAGGAGAGGCAGGAGGACTATCTGTGAAAAATGCTGAATAGCAATTCCTGCATTAGAAGGAAATTTAGATCACACAATGTCTGATATCCCTTCCACTTCTAAGATTCTTTGTTTCTGTGCTTTGCAAGCCATGCTGAAGAGTTTAGCTGTTGTGCCAGAAGTTATAAGGAGTCATCATATGTTTTTGCAGAGGGGAGTGAGATTGTAAATAGTAATTTCAGAATATCAACCTCATTACTGTGGACAGAAAGTAGGAGTTCAGGAGGGGTAGAGCCTGGGTCAGGGAGATTCTCCAGGAATCAGTACAGTGATGTTGGTAAGAGATGATTGAAGCTAGTGGAAAAGAAATGGAGAGCAAGGATGCACCCCAGAGATGTCTCAAACAAAGAGATGACAAGACCTAGTACAGATTTGATGTACCAAGAGGGTAAGAAACAAACAACTCCCTGAAAGCATCCAGTCTGAACACCTGGGAGAACTGTAAGCCCCCCCCCCCCCCACAGAGACAAGGTTAGAAAAGAAAAGTGGTTTGAGGCGTCCCTGGTGGCGCAGTGGTTGAGAGTCGGTCTGCCGTTGCAGGGGACACGGGTTCGTGCCCCGGTCCGGGAAGATCCCACGTGCCACGGAGCGGCTGGGCCCGTGAGCCATGGCCGTTGGGCCTGCTCGTCCGGAGCCTGTGCTCTGCAACAGGAGAGGCCACAACAGCGAGAGGCCCGCGTACCACACACACACACAAAAAAGTGGTTTGTACCCTATAGACAGTGGGGAGTAGAAAGATGGAGCTTCGTGAGTCAGGTCGTTAGCTTAGATGGATGAGCTGTCTGAGGGAGCAGAGGGCCAAGGTCAGAGTCTTAGAAGACATCTACGAATGTGAGCAGGAGAAGAGGAACCAACAAGAAAAAGAGAGATCATTAGTGGTCCGCCATGTAGGAGGAGATTGGGGTAGCATCTATCAAATTACAGAAGCCACGAGGGAAGAGAATTTTAAGGAAGGGGAAGGAATAACAGATCTACTGTGTCAAATATTGGAAAGAAACAAATTGAGGGTATAAACAATATATTTGGCAAGAAGAAGGTAAATGGTGACCTTTGAGAAAACAGTTTCAATAGACAAATGATCGGAGTTTGGGGTTTCTCTCTGCTCCTTTCTATCTACCTTCTGCCTATCTTCTCACTGCCAAATTGTCCAGACCCACTGCCTCTCTGTCCCAGCACTTGCTAACTCCCCAACTCCCTATGGTCTCTTTCCCACTCACCCACAGATTTCCATGCTCGAATGACAGCCCTTGAAGATCAATCACAATTCTCTCCTCAAGTCCAAATCATATGGCCCCTTCTTGAGCTCAACCTCCCCCATCTCTCAGTAACAGTGAACACCATCCCTCTCTTCTCACCCCGCCCCCTTCCTTGGGCTCCAGGACATTTCACTATTCTGGCCATAGCTGAATCCAAGAAAGGAGATGCGTCTCTAGTGGTGCAAGAGGGAGCCTGAGGCATGGATCTGAACTTTGAGTGACCCTGACCTGTCCCCTGAGCTTCTGGACTACATCTCCGATTGCTGCTGGACACTTAAATTTGGAGATATCAAAAACTAAATTCTTTATGCTTCCCTGAAAAAGGTTTGACATCTGGCCTTCAAACTTTTGATAATGATACCATCGTTCTCTTAAAAATACCTTAATGGCACCTTTAATAGCCCCTTTTCCTCATCACCTCTCACCAGTCATTCACCAAGAATTGTCATTTGTTTATTAATCCATGGGACTAAAACCTTTATTACCTCACACATTGATAATGACAATTGCCTCCTAACTGGATTCTCTGGCTCATGTTTCTCCCTTCCCCAAACCTAGTGACCCACTGTGATCATTTCTAACAGAATTTGGTCTCAGTCTAGCTGTCTGGCCTAACAACTCATTACCCCTTCTCCCCACATGAAATCTATGAGTAGCCAGATTAGTGGAGCTCTACTCTGTTCCCTAACTGCTTTGGCCCATGCTGAACTCTCCCTCATCCATTCATTCTTTCATTCATTTATTCAATGACTATTTGTTGAGTACCTACTGTATACCTATTCTGAAATAAATGTTTATTGTCTGGACCACTCATTCGGCATTCATTATATACTGCCTCTTTGGTTTGCTTTTTATTACCCTCAACAAAATAGTTACCTGTTTAACAGAAGGAGCCACGTATGACACCCCATAGAGCTATGTCAAAAGTAGATGCTCAAGAAATGTTTACTGGCTGGTTGGCATTCTGGGAGCAGAAGCCAGATTGTAGGAGACTGTAGATGGGAGAAGTAGATAGGAAAAAGCAACAGGTGCAGAAGGTACTTTCGGGGGGGAGGGTCCAACAGCCCTATGATTAATATTAATCTGCCTCATTGGTTATTTTTAAATGAGTATAAAGCCATTAAAAAAAATAAGCCACATGGTGGCCTTTGGCCTTGGGGTCAAGGGTCTCATGGCTATCTTTGGGACTTAGTCTCAGGGCATAAAACTAATTCAGTACGGTTATCAATGTTGAGGGGGGAGGGGTGGCCAGGAAAGTACAACCTGAGGTTCCAGCATTCCTTGTAAGGTCTTGTGACCTCATAATCCACAGCTCTACAACTGTAGTGTTTAAGAGACTTTCTGTAATTTGGGGATGGCATCTCCAGATGGCAGCAGCGTTTTGTTGCTTGATGTGGGATGAGCCAGTGGCTCAAACCCAGACACTGATTCAGGGAATATCATTCCCATTCTCAGGATTAGATATATTTTACACACACATTTTCATTTGATTCTCAAAACAGTCCTATGAAACTGGTTTATTATCCCCACTTTACAGATCAGGAAACTAAGCTCAGGGAATTTCAGTTTAGAGAATCATAGAGCTCAGGGGTGGCAGAGCAGGAATTTAAGCCCAGTTCTGTCTGACTTCAAAGCCATGCTTATTCAATTTCTTTCGTAAAAAAGGTAACTTTTTTTTTTTTTTGCAAAGAAGGTTTAAAACAAAAAAACAAGAGTTAACCAGTAAAAAGCAGATCAATATTTTAGAGCAAAGTGTGCATGTACTTTGGTATCATTTTCACTAATCTTGAACCTTCTTCCATTCCCTTAAACTTAAGACTCCCTTAGCTTGGAGTCAGAAACCGTTCTCTGAGGTACGTCCCAATCCTCTGGGCCACCACTTGCTCCCAGATTTCTACAGCTCTGGGCAAGCTGGTAACTCTGCCTGAGTTATCTGAAGGTAATCACGAAGAAGGCGCTTTCAATCCTGTTGTCAGCGCACTGTTTTCTTTATAATCTCTAGAAAGAGATATGTGGATCGCAGAGGCCATAGGCCTGAATTCAAATCCCAGCTCCTCCACCTTCCAGCAGTTTTGACCCTGGACAAACACGTATTATGTGCAAGTCACTGTGCTATGTATTTTATAAATGTTATTTCATTTAAATACATTTCATGCTTGCTCTGGAGTGATAGGGGAAGACCTCTAAAACACATTGTTAAGTTTATTTTAAAAAACATTGGTGGGAACAGTGGACATAATATGCTACTCTATGTGATAAAGTGGAGGGGAAAATAAGATTCGCTGTATATGTGTAAAGAAACTATTAACAGTGTTTCCTGATGGGGGGACTTAGTGGGGGTAGGTGTGGGAGCAGGGGTGGGAGGGAGAATTTTACTGCATAACTTTTATACTTTGGGGGTTTTGAAACATATGGCTATAGTACCTAATAAAAAATGTAAATGTATACTTCAAAACAGCAGCCTAACATGCTGCAATGACAGATATTGTAGTTAGAAAAAAAATGGCTTTTAGAGCCAGACAAACCTGGGGTTCAAATCCCAGCTCTGTCCCTTACTTGCTGAGTTACTTCCTCATCTGCAAGTTACTTTCTCATCTGCAAAATAGGGATAAATACCTACATATTGTACCTTACAGAGCTATTGGGAGAACTATATGAGATGATGGGAAAATGAAAATATAAAGCATGGTGACTAGCACACCATAGCTACTCCATAATGACTAACAATTTTCCTACCACGTTCTTAGTTTCAATTTCCCATCAGTACTCTTTTGTTCAGCCAGTTATGAATCTCCATAACTGTACCATCACCTCTCCCACGTGGAAGTATTTCTTCATCTCATCCACATCAATGGCATGAAAGGCATTGTCACATGCCTCACTGACTTCCACATAATGCACCTACCATTTTCCCTGCTCTACTACTCTGGTGACCATACCCAAAAAGGAAACAAGGTCAGACTTCAATTACTTGTTTTTGGGGTCACTTGGACATCACCACTTCTTCTCCTAACTGCTCATAAGCCTATGTTTAAATATTCTAGAACACTTTGCTATCAGTGCTGTCAGTCTCACCAGGCTATAGTTCCCAGAGGCTGCCTTCTTCTTCCTTCTGGGGCTCTAATGTACAGCATGGTGACTATAGTTAATAATTCTATGTTTCATAGTTGAAATTTACTGAGAGTACATCTTAAGTGTTCTCACTACAAAAAAAATGGTAACTATGTGAGGTGATGTGTTAGTGGACTTGATTGCAGTAATCATTTCACAATGTATACATATATTAAAACATCACACTGTTCACCTTCAATATATACGATTTTATGTGTTGATTATACCTCAATAAATCTGGAAAAAAAGAAAATTGGGATAGTGTTTTTGCTCTTTCCAGCCTTCCAACATTTTCTTTTTTTTTTCTTTTGGTAAACTGCTGTGCCTCGTGGTTCAAGTCTTTATTTTCTTTTCTTCCAGTTTTATTGAGATATAACTGACATACAGCACTGCATAAGTTTAAGGTGTACAGCATAATGATTTAACTTACATACATCATGAAATGATTATCACAGTAAGTTTAGTGAACATCTATCATCTCATATAGATACAGCATTAAGGAAATAGAAAAAAATATTTTTCCTTTTGATGAGAACTCAGGATTTACTCTCTTAACAACTTTCACATATAACACACGGCACTGTTCATTGTATTTATCACGTTGTACATTACATCCCTAGCACTTATTTATCTAACAACTGGAAGTTTGTACCTTTTGACCACCTTCATCCAATTCCCCCTCCCCCCACCCCCTGCCTCTGGTAATCACAAATCTGACATGTTCTCTTTATGCCAGTATTCCTCGAGGCCAGCCAATTTGGACTTATTTACAATAGCTAGACCCTCTATTACTGTCTCAGCATTTATCCTGAGGTATATATTTCCCTTTACTATTGCTTGCTTGTTCTATCCATTCCAATTTTATGTGTATTTTCCTTGACAGAATATGGGTGAAAAATAGGATGAGAGTGATTGTTGAGGTCCCGGCCTCGAATGTAAAATCTTGATGATATGTGTTGTGACCATATAATCAACAGCTCTGCAACTGTAGTGCTTAAGAGACTTTCTGTCATTTGGAGATGGTGTCTCCAGATGGCAGCTGTGTGTCACAGCCACAGGCTCAAAGCTAACGCTAGAAGCCACAAGGCTGTTGTGGCTTAAAGGCTAGTTTTCTCACTGTCATCTGTCTTCATTCTCCAGCTGCCCTCAAACAGAGGCTCTAGCCTTTCTTTGTTCCTTTAGCTCCTGTTGAGCTTTTTTTCAAAGCCCCCCTTTTTTTGTCTCTTAGGATTTGGGAACCAAATTAGCTCATTCGGGGCTTTAGCCTTCCCAGCCCCTGGCTAAGAAATCTGTGTCAGCCTATGTATGTGTTCTTGGGCAGGTGGCCCTCTGCTTGTTTATATGTTCCCCTTTAAAATCTGAACCCACTGAAGAGTCATTTATTTTATGTAGCAGATGAGGCATCTTTATGATAGCTTTATGATTTAACTGTGCTCAGTATTGAACTGGGATTGGACTTTCATTCCTAAGCAGCCTGCTTTGACATGGCATTCCCCTCCTCTCTCTAGCTTACATCTTTGTGTTATTTTTAACAGTTATTGTAAATGTACACACTGTAAAAATTCACTCTTTTTGGTGTTTTGACAATGCAAAGAGTCAGGTCACCAGTACCACAGTACCAAAAATTTGCCCAGGGCTGCCCCTTTGAGGTTATCCACCCCTCTACCCCTGATCTCTGGCAATCACTGATCTATCCCAATATTTCTGCCTTATCCAGAATGTCACATACATGGAATCCTACAGCCTGCAGCCTTTTGATTCTGGCTTCTTTCATTTCACAAACTGTATTGGAGATTCCTCCAAGTTGTTGCATGTATCAGCACTGCCTTCTTTTGTATGGTTAAACCACAGTTAGTTTAAACATTTACCCTCAGAAGGACATTTGAGCGTTTCCAGTGCTTGACAATTATGAATAGAATACTTTAAACATTTGTGTACAGGATTTTGTATGAACACGGGTTTTTATTTCACTTGGGTAAATACCTAAAGTGGGACTGTGGAGTCACCTGGCAAGTGTACATTTACCTTTCTAAGAAACTACCAAATAATTTCCCAAAGTAGCTGCATCATTTTGTATTTCCCCCAGCGATGTATGAGAGTTCTAGTTTTTCTCCATCTTCACCAACACTTAGAATTGCCATTTTTTTTAAGTTTAGTCAGCCCAATGGGTGTATAAGGGTATCTTTTTGTAGTTTTGATTTAGCATTTCTCTAATGACTAATGATGCTGAACATCTTTTCATGTGCTTATTTGCCATCACTATATCCTCTTCAGTGGCATATCTGTTCATATCTGAAGCTCATATTCTAACTGGATGGTTTGCATTTTTTTACTGTTGAGTTTTCCAAGTTCTTTATATAGTCTAGATACTAGTCATTTGTCCCATATATGGTTTGCAAATATTTTCCCCCAGTTTGTGGTTTGTCTTTCACCTATCAACAGTGCTTTCCACAGAACAAAAGATTTTAACTTTGACACGGTTCAGTTTCTTGATTTTTTTTCTTCTATGAATTGTGCTTTTCGCATCATGTCTAAGATCTCTTTGCCTAGCCCTAAATCCTAAAGATTTTTCTCCTACTTTTTTTCTAAAAGTTTTATAATTTGACTTTTTTCTCTGAAGTCCATGAGCCATTTTGAGTTAATTTTTGTTTAAGGTATGAGACACTTAGGTCAAGATTCTTTGCTTTGCTTTTCCTTTTTTTGTTTTTGGCCTATGGAAGTTCAATTGCTCCAGCATCATTTGTTCAAAAGGTTGTCTTTCCTCTATTAAATTGCTTTTGTACCTTTGTAAAAAATCATTTCAGTATATTTGTGTGAGTCTGTTTCTGGGCTCTCTGTTCTGTTCCATTGATCTATGTGTCTGTCCTTTCACCAATATCACGCTGTCTTGATTACTGTACTTCTAGCTTACTTTTCTTCTGTTGCTACAGTCCCCCGATGGTGTTATACATTAAATATCCAGGATGGAGAAGCCACGTGCTACTCACCAAGAGGAGGAAATTATCACAGCAGCCTGGGCACTCGCTGTGAACTCTCCTGTGATCGGGGCTTTCGACTGATTGGACGGAGGTCGGTGCAATGCCTGCCAAGCCGCCGTTGGTCTGGAACTGCCTACTGCAGGCGTAAGTAGTGTCTGTGCGTGCATATGTTGACGTGAGCGTGTGAGAGAGGCTGGCCGGCCGGCCACCCAGGGTATATGCCTGGAGGTGTTACTCTGACCTCTGTCAAGTGCAAATTGAGAATGTTCCACAGGCTCCCAACAGGGTCTTTCCCCATCCTAACATTCTAGCTCATTTTCTCTCCCTGTGGTTATTGGTCAAGCAATAGGGGCATTAAGTAGCAACCAGCCCTTCTGGCACAGGAGGTCGAGGAGTGCATGGAAGGCTTACGCCTGGGGCCTGATGTAGACTTGGGCCTTCCTCTGGAGCTCTGAGCATATGTGGTCTCAGACTCATTCCCACTTGTGGTAAACTGCTGTACTTCCTGACCTAAGGCCTTAGAAGGCCTTGGCAATGAAACTATAAGACATCCACTAGTCTTCATTTTCTTCTGAAAGTCAAGAAGAATCCCTAAGGCTGGAATGTGGGCGTGCTAATATGCACATTTCACATCATGTCCCCCTTAGCTCCCAAATCCCTGCCTCTTATTCAAGCCCTACAGCCTACCCCATTTTGGCAGCTGAGCTTTGTCTGTCCCTATGTCCATCACTGAATGCCATTTGTAGAACACCCATGTGTGCGGGGCCCTGTATTGGTCACTTCAGAAGCCAATCCCTCAGTTACCAAGCTGCTTATAGACTAATGGGATGGAAACACAAATGTGTGCACGTGAATGGAGTGTAAGGGGATGCAGAGTGCTGAGCATTCAGAGAGAAATGGGGTTGGTCAGAGAAGATGCTGTGGAGGACAGGAGAAGCTTGATAGCCAGAAAGAGGGAAGCTACCACGTCCCTCTAGGTGACGGTAATGCATTTGTTTTAGGACTTAGACACCATCATTTCCAAAATGAATTTGAATTGGCCTTACAAATAAGTCTACAATGAACATAAAACTTAAAATAAGTCTACAAATGAACATAAAACCAGCTAAAAATTGGAGATGTACATATTTCCAGGTGCCTAGAATGAGTTAATTACTATATTTAAACACTGAATCTGGCTGTGTCCTTCCTCATAAGAGACACAAGGGCAAACACTTTGGATCTATCATTTTCACTGTCATATAATACTAAGAAAACAAATTCAGCTGAAAAGACAAACCTTTTTTTTGGACCTGATTTCAAGGAGGTCATTTTTGCCTAGGTCTTTATATAAAGGAGACTAGAAAAAATAAAAGGCAATCATCCTCAAGTCTGGTTTGACCAAGAAGCAAAACAAACATAGCTCATAGAATCTTTATTCAAAGATTTGAATCTTTATTCAAAGATTTGAATCTTTGAATAAAGATTTGAATCTTTATTCAAACTCCAATAATTGAAGTTAAGGAGGGTTAGAACTTAGACAACCTATAGGAAGATATGGCTGGCCTACTTCTTTCAGGTATCAGGTATTTCAAACTAGACTTTGGCAAGCACAGGCTCACAATCAATTCAGGGAAGCTGTCTCCACTTCTGGCACACGTGGTGTCTAAAGCACATGGACTCGTCTTTAAGCAAATGCCACCAAAGCTGGCCCTCTAGGCACTGGCCTGACTTGTATTCTCACTGGCACAGAGGGCTAGCCTGCCTGTAAGTGAGCCTCAGCTGAGGAGTGCTTGTGGTAGTACCAACATTATACTCAAAAAAGGAGCCTTAAATTTGTTCAAGGGTGTCTAGCATTTGAGGAACAAGAGAGGAAAACTATCAGCTGCTGAGGCTCTGAATAAGCCCAGAGGTTTACATGCATTGTCTCTTTAATCGGCACAACAATCCTACTTCATGGTATACACATTTTAGTGATGAAAACACTGAGGCTTGGAGAGATGAGGTAACTTGCTCAGGTCACAGAGCTAGTAAGTGGTGGAGCTGGGATCCAAACTCAGGTGCGTTTCTCAAATCCATGCACTTGGATGAGTAATTTACTTCTTTGAGACCACCACCCCAGCCCCACCCACCAAAATAAGAAGGCAATTAGGAGAAAGAGGCAATCAGGCACAATAATGTCAGGGCAGTTTGGTGTAGGGTTTTCTGTATTTTCTGCTGTTTCTGATACGGTTCTCCCTGTGCTAGATGCCCAGGCAACACCTCCACATAAACCCCACAGGCCACTGAACTTGCCACTTCATTCTCTCTTAGAGCTGAGATGCCACGCATTGCCATTCATCACGAGTGGCACCTACACATGCACAAATGGGGTGCTTCTTGACTCTCGCTGTGACTACAGCTGTTCCAGTGGCTACCACCTAGAAGGTGACCGCAGCCGAATCTGCATGGAAGATGGGCGATGGAGTGGAGGCGAGCCTGTATGTGTAGGTAAATGCTGGTCGCTCCCAGCTGTCCTGCTGCAAAGAGCCAGCCTGGCATTATGTCCACCACAGAAGGCATTCCTCCTCGCTGTAAGGGTGGTACCCTGGGCATGGGCTTAACAAAGTGATCACTTCCCGTGGAGCTGGGCCTCCCCGGTTTTGTTGAGCATCTTGAACTGAGAGTGCATCTTTTACCTACCCAGTGGTGTGGCATTGTTTCTATGGGTTCCCTCCAAGGAAGGCAGGGGACCCATGAGTCAGCACTTGATTTCTGACCTTGGCAGACATAGATCCCCCCAAGATCCGTTGTCCCCACTCCCGTGAGAAGATGGCCGAGCCAGAGAAACTGACTGCTCGAGTATACTGGGACCCACCCCTGGTGAAAGATTCGGCTGATGGCACCATCACCAGGTGAGTAATGGATGCCTCCTATGCTTCCCACCAGCTTCTCCCAGGCACTCAGGCTGCCCACACTGAACCGCACAGACTGAGGGTACAGTGACAATGTGCCCCAGACCCCAGTTCTAAGAGTCACTTTCCTCAGTGGCTCTCTCACTTTGTCCCATGCAGGGTGACACTTCGGGGCCCTGAGCCTGGCTCTCACTTTCCCGAAGGAGAGCACGTGATTCGTTATACTGCCTACGACCAAGCCTACAACCGGGCCAGCTGCAAGTTCATTGTAAAAGTACAAGGTTAGAAAGAAGTCTTCCATTTCTACATTGCTTATTATTCCTGCTCTTCCCTTACCCTCCAGATGCCCATCACAACCCTCTCCTCTCTATATCTAAAACAGACACTGCATATATATTGGGAGATGGGAAAAATAAGTTCACTAAACAGGTCATTCAGGAAGCCTGCATGACATGTGCATACACATGTTTCAGAAACTCTGTTTCCCAACAAGACTTTCTCACTCTCCTAAATCTACATAAAATCCACAAAGGTACTCTTATCCATTTCTTTTCTTGGCCTTCAAATTAATGATTAAAGCTAATCAGCCTTCAATCTCCATCTTACTCCTCTGCTGAAATTGGTGGTGTTGGCTGCCTGATTCTTGCTTTTTCTTTTGTTTTGTTTTCATCATAAAATTAATTCATGCTCACTGTTGAACATATGGGAAATAAAGAGATATATAAAGGGGAAAAAACCTATTACTCTATCATCCAGAGGCAATTATTGTTAATCTTTTGGTATTTTCCTTCCAGTCTTTTATTCATACATACTTTAAAAAATATATAATTGAGATCATACTGCATATCCAATCTTATGTCACCCTTTTTTACTTTTCATTATAACACAAGTACTTTTTTTTTTTTTTTTTTTGCGGTACGCAGGCCTCTCACTGTTGTGGCCTCTCCCGTTGTGGAGCACAGGCTCAGCGGCCATGGCTCACGGGTCCAGCCGCTCCGCTGCACGTGGGATCCTCCCAGACCGGGGCACCAACCCGCATCCCCTGCATTGGCAGGCCAACTCTCAACCATTGGGCCACCAGGGAAGCCCCCTTCAGAAGTATTTTAATGACAGTATAATAATCAGCTTCTAAGAATATATCATACTTTGCTTAACACTTCTCCCACTGATGGATATTTAAGTCTCCTCCAATTTCTTTTTGCTATTAAAAGTAATTTGTACGGTAGTCATCTTTATGCGGGGTGTCCCCAAAGTCTAAAAACAAAAATGGCAATTTCTTTTTACAGATTGATAGTCTTTTGATGACAATATGTATACTCACCTGTGCTTCCACATTTTATGAACACCTTTGCCTACATTTTAGATTTAATTACATAAGGAAGGAAAATTCTGGCTCTAGCTCTGGCCATTGGAAACACAGACAAGTCATTCATTCTGATCATTCTGGGTCTGCTGATCTAGAAAACCCAGGATAGGCATCCTCTTAGCCTCTTTTTTTTCTAAAAGAGATAACATAGCCCCTAACTTGAACTCCTCCCTGATAGTGAGACGCTGCCCAACTCTGAAACCACCACAGCATGGCTACCTCACCTGCACCTCAGCGGGGGACAACTATGGTGCCACCTGTGAATACCACTGTGATGGAGGGTATGAGCGCCAAGGGACCCCCTCCCGGGTGTGCCAGTCCAGCCGCCAGTGGTCAGGATCGCCACCTATCTGTGCTCGTGAGTGAAACTAGGAAATGGGGAGAGTGGACATATTGATCAGGGCTACTTTGGGGGATCTCCCAATGTCTATGACTCAGGGGCCAAGAGCAATGTGTCTGATGTGGGAATGGGGGATTCTGAGATATTTCAGGGCCAGTGTTCCCTCTTAGCATACTCCACCTCCAAGAAAAAGGGTTTAAAATCTCCAAGTGTTCTTTCAGGATTTCCCCCAAGGAAAATAGAGAATGGACTTGAGGACACGGGGAGGGAGAAGGGTAGGCTGGAACGAAGTGAGAGAGTGGCATGGACATATATACATTACCAAATGTAAAATAGATAGCTAGTGGGAAGCAGCCGCATAGCACAGGGAGATCAGCTCGGTGCCTGGTGACCACCTAGAGGGGTGGGATAGGGAGGGTGGGAGGAAGGGAGACACAAGAGGGAAGAGATATGGGGACATATGTATATGTATAACTGATTCACTTTGTTATACAGCAGAAACTAACACACCATTGTAAAGCAATTATACTCCAATAAAGATGTTAAAAAAAAAAAAAAGAAAGAAAGAAAGAAAGGGAGAAACAACAAAAAAGGTTAACCCGAAAGGCTGGAACACCTCAGAATGTTGTTATCCATGCTGGGATGAAGGAGCAGGCCATACTCTGACTGGCCATGTGCTTCTGCCCTAGCTATGAAGATTAATGTCAATGTCAACTCGGCTGCTGGCCTTCTGGATCAGTTCTATGAGAAACGGCGACTCCTCATCATCTCGGCTCCTGATCCCTCCAACCGATATTATAAAATGCAGATCTCTATGCTACAGGTGAGAGACACTCCTCTAATCAGGGCTTAGCTTCTTTGCATTACCCCTACCCCACTCCGTTACTCTCCTACCTCTTCTCAAAGACTTGCTCTTTCTGCAGCACAAATGCTACTTCCTCAGACTCTGTGGACAACATTTGATCAGTTTTACTGTAGACAAATTTAGCACATTTTAAAAACTGCTGTTTTTACTGAAAAGACAGTGAGGTTCAGCTTGGTGCTTTGTGACCGCCTGGAGGGGTGGGATTGGGAGGGTGGGAGGGAGGGAGACGCAAGAGGGAAGAGATATGGGAACATATATAATATAACTGATTCACTTTGTTATACAGCAGAAACTAACACACCATTGTAAAGCAATTATACTCCAATAAAGATGTTAAAAAAAAAAAAAAGAAAGAAAGAAAGAAAGGGAGAAACAACAAAAAAGGTTAACCCGAAAGGCTGGAACACCTCAGAATGTTGTTATCCATGCTGGGATGAAGGAGCAGGCCATACTCTGACTGGCCATGTGCTTCTGCCCTAGCTATGAAGATTAATGTCAATGTCAACTCGGCTGCTGGCCTTCTGGATCAGTTCTATGAGAAACGGCGACTCCTCATCATCTCGGCTCCTGATCCCTCCAACCGATATTATAAAATGCAGATCTCTATGCTACAGGTGAGAGACACTCCTCTAATCAGGGCTTAGCTTCTTTGCATTACCCCTACCCCACTCCGTTACTCTCCTACCTCTTCTCAAAGACTTGCTCTTTCTGCAGCACAAATGCTACTTCCTCAGACTCTGTGGACAACATTTGATCAGTTTTACTGTAGACAAATTTAGCACATTTTAAAAACTGCTGTTTTTACTGAAAAGACAGTGAGGTTACTAGAATGGTGGGTTACAAGAGGCTTGGTGAAGCATGAGAAGGCTGTGTGGCAAAACACTCTGGAGAGACCTGTAAGATGTATGATCAAATGTAAATGTGGGGAATTAATTATGTTTATGTTTTCAAGGAATAATAGCACTAACAGACAGACAGTAAGTGCTATATAAGGACCAGGTATACAAGTATGTGCTTTACACATATTCACTTAATTCTCACAGCAACCCTTATGAAATAGGTACCATTACTATCCCCATTTTTTAGCTAAGGAAACTGAGGCATAGAGCGTTTAATGATTTGCCCAAAATCACTAGCTAGTAAGTGGCCAAGCCGGGACCGAACCCAGGCAGTCTGATTCCAAGATCTGTGCTCTTAACCATGACTAATAGCAGACGAGAAGGAAAAGTGTTGTGATATTGCAAAGTAATATGAGGGAATTGCGTGAGGATTTTTAACATTCTACCAGATATCTAGTTAAAGCCACTTGTGGGGGAAGGAGAAGTGGAAAGGACAGAATAGATCTGACCATTGGGACTTGTGAAAGGAATAGACCAGATTCTATCACTATGCTGTACACCTGAAACTTATATAATATTGTAAATCAACTATACCTCAGTAAAAAAGAGAAAAATAATATAATGATAAAAATAAAGAATAGACTAGGCTCTTGAAGAGAATTCAAGTTATGCTGACAAAACTTGGAGAACCAGCTCTGATAAGCTGAAAGGGGCTGGATACCCAGTAAAAGAAGAAGTTATTTAGGGGGGTTCTAAAAGTTGAATCTTACAAGTTGCCAAGTCAATATTCAGAGGCCCAGGATGAAAGCAGCTGTATCAAGAGAATGACCCTGGGTATCTAGACCAAAAAAGGACCTAGTTCCTCCAGGGATCCCAAAAAGGCAGACAAAGGCAATACCTCAGCTTGAGCAGAAAGCAAGAACAAGAACAGAAACCAGCCAGGGAGGACTGTGACTTTGAGGGCCAGGTCTAGAGGAGTAGCCCAAAGATTAAACAAGGGGTGGGCACCAGGCAGTGCTCACTGCTACTTTAAACCTCCCCCCATGTAACTGGCTAAGAGACGCCCCTGCTGGATGAGGCAGGACAAAGAGCCAGGGTAGGGTTACAGGGTGTCCTGCCCAGTGCAGAGGAATGTGAGAAAGGGTAACAGAAAGAGCACTGGCACCATTTTGGAGAAATTCTGGAGACTTGAGAGAAGGCCATGGCCATGTAGCCTAGTGGTAAGGAGTACACACTTGGGGCAGGCAGCCTCAGCCCTCACTTTGAATTTTGGCTCAGCATCTTATTGTCATGCAAATGTGGGCAAGTTACTTTCTCCTCTACAGAATAAGAATGATACCACCTACCCTGTTAGGGGTGTTGTGAGGATTAAATTCAATTATTCCCGCGAAGCATTAGGTATCTGTGTTCAATGAACAATAGTCACTGTTATCCTATCACAATAGCTATCCATTAAGAACCTATGTAGTTTCCAGTTATAAAATAAATAAGTCCTGGGGATGTGATGTACAGCACGGTGACTATAGTTATATTGTATGTTTGAAAATTGCTAAGAAAGTAGATCTTAACATTTCTCATTGCAAGAAAAAAAAATGGGACTATGTGTGGTGATGAACGTTAACTGGATTTATTGTGGTGACCATTTTGCAATATAGACAAATATCAAATCATTATATTGTACACCTGAAACTAATATAATGTTATATGTCAAATAATATCTCAATTTAAAAAAGAACCTATGTATTTAAAAACCTATGCAGGGGCTTCCCTTGTGGCACAGTGGTTGAGAGTCTGCCTGCTGGTGCAGGGGACACAGGTTCGTGCCCTGGTCCGGGAAGATCCCACATGCCGCGGAGTGGCTGGGCCCGTGAGCCATGGCCGCTGAGCCTGCGCGTCCAGAGCCTGTGCTCCGCAATGGGAGAGGCCACAGCAGTGAGAGGCCCGTGTACCCCCCCCAAAAAAAAACACACACAAAAAACAAAAAACCTATGCAAAACTAAGCAAGGAGAGATGATGTTCCTGCAATTTATCAATTACATTTCTCTTTTCTACCCCACATGGTGTAACCAGTATCCCACACTTCATTAGAATAAAGGAAACACTGTTACGGCAAGTGCTTCAGGAATGACAGAGGGAAGAGGTCGTAGACCCCCTGGTGTGATGGTTGGGGAAGAAGCCCCTCCTTTCCCACACTGCCTCCACATGGTCCCAGGAGGAATCAGCTAAGTAGCCTTAGGTTTGAGTCTGATAGCCTATTACAGAAAACCTTCTTCTCTCCCCTCCCAGCAATCCATCTGCGGACTGGACCTGCGGCACGTGACCATCATTGAGCTGGTGGGGCAGCCACCTCAGGAAGTGGGGCGCATCCGGGAGCAACAGCTGTCAGCCAGCATCATCGAGGAGCTCAGGTCCAGGCTGCGAGGCCACAGGGAAGGGCTGGGCGGAAACTCTAGACAGGTCATTGGCCACAGGAAGGTTGTGGGACAATCAGCAGACACTACTCTTTTGGGGAATTCCTTGTGTTTGAACTCTTTGGATGTATTAGGTAAGGTCAGAGAGTGGCAGGGTGTCAGAATTAAATTGGGGGTTGGGCGGTGCTTAAAATACAGATGACCACCCCAAACCACCTCAGGACTCTGCTTTTAGGAGGCACCTGAGGTGACTCTGAAGCACAGCCAGGGCTGAGACACAGACCCAGACATGACTCAGATAAGCCTCTGATCCTGTTGCCTTATGGCCTTATCCCTTTGCCCTCAGTCGCCAAAGGAGCAAAACACATTTTAGGCACTGAAATCTGAATCATACCCATCTGCCCCTGGGGGTAGAGAAGACCACAGGCAACAGGTGGTAGAAGTTGACTTTTCTCACTATCTATCTATTATCACCCTTCCAATGCCTCCACATATACTCAGAGCCAATAAAGCCATCACTGATCTCTGTTCTATAAACAATACCTGCCCCTAGGGCTGTCTCAGTAGGGACAGAAAGATTCAGTCCCAGATAGAAGAGAGACTGGGAAACACTCAGAGGAAGGAGACTGCAGACTTGGTGATATTGCTCAACTTCAAGGTTGACCAGGTGACATTCATCAACCTCAGGGCTGCCATGTTTGGTTGTGCAGGCTGTGCCCAGCCCAACTCTAGGAAACACTAGTCGCAGCATAGTGCATGTGACCAGTGCTCCCTGGAGTTATTCCATGCAGCCCGCATTGCTGTATGTGATAGCCCTGCTTAAGGGGGCCTGTGAGGCAAACACAGCTTGGTAATAACAAAGCTGTTCCATCTGGGGTGAGGAAGGGACAGCTTAACAGAGCTAGACACATAGGGGCAGCAAGACTCGGGTCTGAGCAGAGAAAAACAAAGGGACTTGAGACAGGTAGTGGAGGGGATGGGGCCAAGGGATTGGGTGGGGAAAAAATTAGTCCATCAGTGGAGCTGTGAAAGGTCAGAGGGTAGTAGAGCCTGGTGGGATGATGCCAAAACAAGGTCTCAGACCTCCCTGGGCTCTTCTCTCTAGGCAATTTCAGCACCTCACTCGCTCCTACTTCAACATGGTGTTGATTGACAAGCAGGGAATTGACCGGGAACGCTACATGGAACCTGTCACTCCCGAAGAAATCTTCACGTTCATTGATGACTATCTACTGAGCAACCAGGAGCTGACCCAGCGCCGGATGCAAAGGGACATATGCGAGTGAACTTGGGCCAGGGTATGGTTGAGGTCAAGGGCAAAGGTCCCATAGTCAGCCGAAACTGGGGCCTAATAAAAGGAGAAAATGCTTTTTCCACAGCTCTAGGGACAGGACTCTGAGGTGGGTGAGGTTCCCTGATCCTGGGACATTTCCAGGCACCTTTTTAGGGCTGTAGAATAGTTTCCTTAAGCAAGTCTCTGCTTTAGGTAGCACTGGAGGAGCATAAGAAGTTAGGGAGGGACTGAGGACAGGCCCTGGGCAGCAGGTTGTGGACAGAAGGTCTTGCTTTCCTAACCTGGGCTTCGGCCCAGCTCTCCAAAGTCTTCCAGATAAGTAAATTCTAAATTCATTCACTAACTGGCTGTGTTTTAAACGGTTTCTCTACCCTGAAGTGACAGCAGAGGGCAGCACCATCACAACAGACAACAAGGACACTAGCAAGTGTGGCTGATCTTCCTTACAGGTTAACTGTGTGATTGGAGGTGGGGGGAGCACCAAAACATTCTTGAACTTGTTTGTCCTTTCCCTTTTTAGGGTATTGGGCCACAAATGTTCTGTTAGCCATCACTTCACCTAAGAGTTAGCAAACTGCTGCAGGGGGAGGGAGCTTGGGAAGTAAAATCAGGCCAGAGCAGAAGGCTTTCTCCTGCCCCTCCAACTAGCTCATGGGCAACAGTCTCTCTCCTTACTGAGCCTCCAGTTCTCATAGCAAAAAGGGAGCCAATGCTGCCCCTTCCTCAGAGAAGCTCCCAGTTCGTGATTTAGGAAACCTCAGAACCACCAACTATAAACTAAATCAGGGAGAAGGAAAAAAGACAGCCTCGGCCTCATGTATTAACTTACTCAGACACCCACTTTGAAAAGATGGCCACAGAGCAAGTGAGAGCTACAGCAGCACAAAGGCTAGCCTTAAGGGTCAGGCATGCAAGGAAATGTGGGCTATTTGAGCTCTTGGGAAGCACAGCCACACTCAGACTCCCTGCTCTGGCTTTGGCCGCACTCAAGCGTGCATCAGTGTTTGAAAGAAAAGCACTCTTCCCCAGGATGCTGGGAACCTTCTTTTCTACTCTCTTGGAACCCAGCGTCATGGTTAAGACTCAGCAGACATTCACCTTCCACTTTCCCCAGGGGTTCACTGGTGGGAAATTAGAGGGGAGAAGGAAGCAGGCTAGGTGGAGAGGCAGAGCTAAAATGCTCGAGCACTCACTATGTGCCAGGTGCTGTTCTAAACACTCTCAATTGACTGAAATCTTCACAAGAACCCTGTAAGGTAGATCCTGTTATGAGTCCCATTTCACAGATGCAAGGATGGAAGCACAGGGAGGTTAGGCAACTTGCCTAAGATCACACAGCTCAGAAGTGGCAGAGTCGGGATTTAAACCCCAGCAGCCTGGCTCCAGAGTCAGTGTTCCTAAACACAATGTTATACTGCCTCTACTTCTTTTTCTACTTTTCATTTAAAGACAGCTGACAGCTCTAAGTAAGGAGAAAGGTTTTATCTTCTGTAATCCCACTCAGAACACTCAGAGTGTGCCCAGGAGGAAAGAGGGAAAAGAAAAGCTCTCAACCCAAGAAAACACTCTCCCAAGCAGAGTGATGGGATGGAAATCAAGAGCCCAGGACCTATGGGGTAGTAGTGAGTCACAGAGAAGCTGTTATACTGGGCGGTTAGTGGAAATCTCATTTGTAAAATGCAAAATTAAAAGGCAGTTTCTGGGTGGAATGGGACATGGAGGAAATGATCAAACTTGGAGCACAAAGGTCCCTTCTCCCCCTTCCCTCCAGAGAAATACAGGAGCTCTGAAAGGCAGGAAGCAAGTTATGGGCAGAAGGCAAAATACAATGAGTTAATGTGGGAAATCTCCAATCAGACAGGGTCTGTGGTTCCAGAGGCAAAGATTGCACATCAGGCAAAATTAATGCCCTTCCTTGTCTTTATCAGTAACACTTCATGTGGCAAGCCAGGGCACGCCAGAGGGTCAAAGGCCCAAGTGATAACACGAGGAGGCCCACTGCCTCTCAAGCAGAGTTCCCACCTGGGCCTGACTCTTGCATATAAATGCTCCTCTAGCTTAAAAAAATTGAGAAGCTTTTGTTTTGTTTCATTTTATTGAGTAGTCAAGACAAATCAATCTTGCTTTCTTTCGGTCAAGTTTTACGGCTATGAATAAAGTCAGGATTATGAGTCAGGAAATCCCAACTCCTAAAACAGGGGAAGGAAACAGCAGTGGGATCAGTCTGCCAGCCAGACCCAAAGGGGCTAGCCCAACCCCACCCTGTACTACTTGTTTCTGTGTTTCTCTCTCTGCTCCTTCCTGCCCCGAACGCTCCTCCTTTCCCCCCTCGTTCCCTTCCCCTGCCCCCTCCCCCCCATACAAGCTATTCCCTCAGTCAGCTGACTAGGCAACATCCAAAGCATTCTGTTGTCCTACCCCGTAAATGAAACTTATTTGAAATATTTTAGAAGAGAGGAGTCACCCCTTTCTTTGAATCTTGGCCCATGCCTCACAGGAGGCAGCATGGTCCTGTAGAGTCAGACCTTGATTCACTTCCCAACTTTATGCATGATAGTGGGCTTGACTTTCCTCACCTGTAAAAAGGCAAGGTTTCCTATTTCATAAGGTGCTTGGAGAAATGAAGGAAATAGTGTATGCTTAGCAGAAAGCTTTGTACACAAAAGGCATTCAATATATTTTAATACCCTTTTATACAAGAGGTCAAAAATCACTTGGGCTCTACCTAGAAATCCAGAGCCTTATTTCTGAGATGGGTTACTTGGTATCTGGGTTATTTATCTTTCAAAACTAAACAGTGGTAGTAGGAGTGAAGGAAAAGGCCCTACCTCCTAGAGAAGGTGAAGGATCCAGAAAGAAACAGCAAAGGGATGTCTTCCCTTCCCTGTGCACTTTTCTCTCCTTCCTGCAGTTGCAGACATGGGATGGGGGTGGCTACAAAGGTAAAGGAGGAGTTTCCCTTGGTACTTTAGAGAGAGAAAGAAAAGTGTTAGCACTTTTAAGATGGGTTCTCATTCTCTCCCTCAATACCAAACACAGAGGTCAATGGATCAGAGCTCGGCAGAGGTATCAGGCACCAATGTGGGGACAGGGAAATTTTCTTCAAGTGAGCACAGTATGGTTAGGGAAGGGCATTTGTCACTTTGGTTCTTATCCTTCAAGCCACATGAAAAGCAACAACAGTTCAGGACATCAGAGACGAAAGCATCTATAAGACTAGCAAATGCAAACGCTTGACAAGGAAGAAAGCTTTATTGAAGCACACACACATTTCAGGGGGTGGAGAACAAAGGAGCAAGTGACAGTCCAGGATCCCAAGTTATGCCTTCCATTACAATATCAATCCACACCGAATAAACCTTTTTAAAACACTCTTCCATTCACTTCACACATATAACAGAAACTGCAGTGGCCACCTTCAATCCAGTAGCCTTATAGGAGAGTCTGCTAGCAGTCAACTCTACTGAAAGGGATTTCTTCTCCGGTACAGACTCCTTTTACAAATGACTTTGTGAAGATAAAACTGTGAGAATAAGAAGGTCAGTTTGGGACAGTGAGTTTCAGAAAATGAACCTTAGATAGCTAGACCCTTCTTAGAAAGGTCTCAACCCACCACACCCAGGTTACATCTAGGTCAACTTTAGGAAACAAGAGAAAAAATAGGAACTGAAACCACTTCAAGAAGGAAGTCAGAAAACCTGGGAGATTCTCTGAACACACTCTCTTGGACACTAACAGTGCCCAGCCTGGAGAAACACTGGGCTGGTTTAGACCATACGTGGCCATTCTGACTGACATAACAGTATGTAGACCCTATTCTGGGTGGTAACATATGGCGAACACAAACACTAAGAAAAGTGTGGTACGTGAGAGTGAAGATGTCCTGTCTTTCATTAGAGAAATTAGGAGCTCTTTAACCGCTGTATCAGTTTAAAATGCAAAGAATTCAGCATGGGCTGGGAGACACTCAGTCACTGGTCCTCAGGGACCACTGAGAAGCCCTTACTGGGCATGCCCATGACCCAGTTCAAAGGCCATTATCTAATTAAAGTGCTCTTCTAAAGCAGCTCTGTTATAAGGGTTCCCCAAAGGTCTAGGGAAGGTGTTCAGAACTGGAAGCAACTTAGACATTTTCTTAGCATTTCCAAGAAAAGCATTCGACCCAAGCAAGGTGGAAACTGCTACAAACAAGAAGAGTTAAAAGCCAAGTTCCAGAAATGTGTCAAGGTAGAAATGGAGTTAAAAGCATAAATTGGAGAAGGAGGGATGGACCTACTCACCTCTCTCCCATCTTCTGTCTTCCACCCCATCTTCTGTAACCCACCCCTGCTTCCCGGAGCCTTGGCCTCAGACCAGGCACACCTTGAAACACAGACCAGTATGAGTGCCAAAGGCAGCCGGGGCTTCCTGGGGAAGGAAGAAGCAGGATAGCAAGACAAGTGATAAAAAGTTGTTTTAAAAGATAAGTTAATTAAATCTCATAAAGATATAAGAAACATGGACTCTGAAAATATATAGTAGTTTATGCACAAATAAAAACATTTTGAAGAGATGCTTATTTTCGAGCCTGCTTTAAAAAGGGATAGTCTACATCACTCTAGCATAATGAGATTTGTAGAAATACACGTTTACACACACACACACACACACACACACACACACACACACACACACACACACACACACACACACACACACACACACACACACACACACACACACACACACACACACACACACACACACACACAAAATTATAAATCTTCACCCTTGGTTTCTTCGCTTCCTCTGACTTGCCCTAGACAAGGTTGGACCTGCAGAGGATAAGGGCTCACAAGCCCAGCTTCTGCTTGGCCATCGAGGAACGGAGCTGCAGAGTCCCTTCTGCCCAAGACCCTGGGTACTGTCGCATCTTCTGCCATAGGCTTACTTCTTCCCCAGTCGAGTCCATCCAGTCCACCACTTCCCCATTACTGATCCCTAAGGAGAAACACCAGAGGAGGCTGAACAGGGACCCCATTCCTCAGCCTACTGAGAAATATGGGTTATGCATTAAGGGTAGCACCCCATAAAAGACAGTGTGCTATGAAGATGGGCTGATGGGGACAGCGGTCTGAGAATGGCTCCCTGTTGATTTTGCACAGCTATTTCTGTGCTCTTGAAACTCTGTCAAGAGACTTAAAGTTGATGAAATGAGACTCGAAACAGCACACGGTAGCTCGAGACTTCTTATTCTAAGGCTGTTACAGCTATAGCCCTTCTGTTATTGCCAACTTGACAAGGGAAGGGAGGGGAGGGCAAGGGAGGGGAGGGGAGGGAGGGAGGAAGAGAAGGGGGAGAGGGAGGAAGGAAAGAGGGAAGAAAGGAGGGAGGGAGGGAGGAAGGGAGGAAGGGAGGAAGGGAGGAAGGGAGGAAGGAAGGAAGGAAGGAAGGAAGGAAGGAAGGAAGGAAGCTGAACACCTTTATTTTCTGGCTGTAGACTCCAGGCTTGAAGTTCAGATCATATGGGGCCTCATTTCTATTCTCTTGTATATTCATTCATTCGACAAACATTTATCAAGTGCCTACTGTGTACCAAGTACTCTTCCAGGCTCTGGAGATACAGCAGTAAACAAAGCAGAAAAAGTCCTGCCCACAGGCAGCTTACAGTTGAACAGAGAAGACACAAGTAAATCAACAAGAGTATTCCAGATAGTGAGGTAAGTGTCATGAAGCAAATAAACAGGGTGATTTGTAGTGCCTAGATCAAGGCCTCGCTTAGATTAAGTGATCTGAGGGCCCCTCTGAGAAGGAGACATATAGTCAGGAGCTGAAGGACTGGAAGGAACCAGCCTTCCCAGACAGAGGGAGCACTAATTGCAGAGGTTATGAAGTGGGGAGAAACTTGGTATACTTGGAGAAAAGAAAGCAAGTCATTGTGTTTGGAGCATAGTGAGCAAGTAGTACTATATGATGGATCATAAAGGAACAGAGGGTCTAGATACAGGGGCCTATTGGCATGGTGAGAACTTTGGATTGCTTTCTAAGTGCAGTAGGAGCCCCTGAAGTGTTTGAAGTAGGGGACTGACATGAACTGGCTTACATGTGTAAGAACATCATTCTAGATGCTTTGTGTTAAATGCTTTGTATGAATTATTAATATACAAGTAATATTTACAGCCACAGTAATTCAGAGACTGTAGAGAAAGAAAGAATTCAAGACTAAGCCTTGAGAGCACCAATATTTAGAGTTTGGGTAGAGAATGAGGATGTCCCAAAGAAAAGTGTGGTGTGAAGAGAAGCAAAGTATTTCAAGAAAAAGGGAGTGATCAGCTATGCTAAATAGCATGAAAATTCTAGGATGATGAAAACAAAATTTTGGCATAAGCAGTTACTCAGTGGAATGGAGGGACAGAAGTCAGATCACAGTGGATTGAAGACTAAAGGAGAGCTGAGGCCATGGAAACCACTCTCTTTAAGAAATCAGAGGGGAGACGTGGGGTCAAGGGAAGGTTTGTTTCTGTTTATTAAGACTGGAAATACCAGAGTATATGTACTTTCTCCTCCAATAGGGAGGTAGAGAGAATAAAACTGATCAGATAGGATAGATAGGAGATTCCAGAAGTAAGGTCACTGAGAAGGAGAGGGTGTGATCTAGAACACTTGGAAAGAGCTTGGCCCTTGCTAGGAAGGACCCTTCTTTCATGTAACAGGATGGAAGGTGGAAATCAGAGGTACAGATATATGTAGGTTTTTATATGTTTTTGGTGGGAAGATGATGGCATTCC